TGTATCACCCGTGTAGAACCCACCATAAAGATTCTTAGGGACAGGCACCAAATCAAGGTTTTCAATCCTCCACACCTGCAGGCCGGTCTGCTTTCCTGCCTTCTCAAATTCTGGGTGGTGCACCATGATTCTGTTTGAAAACAAAAGCCATTGTGATGGTTATAGACAATAGTCATATTTTGCATGCTGGCATGTTCCACATACACAAAATGTGGGTAAAAGCATCTTAAAAGTTGACTTTACTTAAGTAACTAAGCCAGTTGCAACTTGGAAATGATAAGTTGAATTAAATTTTATAATTGTACATGAATCATTTACTTAATGTTAGGATAACAGGTTTACTCACTTTATTTTTAGGTCAGCTATTTCCTTTAAAAGAAACAAGTTTGCTCGCTTGTTTTAAAGTGTACACTACCTGACAAATGTCTTGTTGCCTATTCAAGTTTTAGAAACAACAAATAATGATCATTTGGCATTAGAAGTGGCTTATAATAAAGGCAGACCTCCAGATTACGCTTTTTTTTACCTAAATAAAATATGATCATGCCTTGATTTTTAATTATTTAATCAGGACAGTAAGGTCTGACTTTGCTTAGACAAATGTCTTGTCACTTAACAGAAATAATGTACAGTATAGAATATAAAGTCATGGTGCAGTAGAAAAACAATGAATATTGTGTTTGACTCCCATGAGCTTGGAGGACTGCATCTATACATCTCTACAATGACTCAAATCACTTATTAAAGTCATCTGGAATGGCAAAGAAAGCGTTCTTGCAGGACTCCCAGAGTTCATCAAGATTCTTTGGATTCATCTTTAATGCCTCCTCCATCTTACCCCAGACATGCTCAATAATCTTCATATCTGGTGACTGGGCTGGCCAATCCTGGACCTTTTTTGCTTTCAGGAACTTTGATGTGGAGGCTGAAGTATGAGGAGCGCTATCCTGCTGACAAATTAACCCTCTCCTGTGGTTTGTAATGTAATGAGGAGCACAAATGTCTTGAAACCTCAGGCTGTTGATATTGCCATACACTGCAGATATCTTGCATGCTGAATGTAACCCCAAACCATGATTTTTCCTTCACCATACTTGGCTGATTTCTGTGAGAATCTTGGGTTCATGCGGGTTCCAGTAGGTCTTCTGCAGTATTTGTGATGATTGGGATGCAGTTCAACAGATGATTCATCGGAAAAATCTACTTCCTGCTACTTTTCCTAATGATCAACTAGAAGTCAAGTTATTACTTGTTGCTCTTACAACTGGGATCGACAACAAGACTTTTGTCAGGTAGTAGGCTCACTCTGGGGGGATTTTTGAGTCTTAATCTGTTCACAACTTTCTCAGTTTCAGCAAATGGAATAATTTTTGATGACTAATCTTATTTTGACCCATATTTTGGGAAAATGCTTCAAAAATTCAACAATTACCTCTAAGCGGGTTTACTACCCTTTCGTTATATTGGTGGCTTTTTTGCCCCATTGACTTCCATCATAATAAAAAAAAATTTGATAGCAAAGCCATGACATCATATAATCATACATTCTTGATTGTTGGTGGATTTCCCTGTTGCAAAGAGGTAAAACTTTTTACTGTTGATCACAAGAAAACAGCTTAGTTTCTCTCTTAGAATTATATGGAGTGTAGTGGATGTGTAAGAAAGAGAGACCATTGCACACTTACTCAGACAGTTGATATGTTTGAAAAAACAAACAAATAAGCACCTTAGCTCTCAGAACATAGTTAACATAGTAAGTGTATTTATACTCCACACTCTAATTTGTTGTTTTACTACATAGTAACTTGTTTTACTTCAAGTCCATATAAAAGTAGGAAACTTTTTTGCACAGGCCCATCTATAGGGTTAATGCTGGCAACTGATGATCAACACTAGAAATTAAAAGTTGTATCTCTTCTCAACAAGGGAAAACACTAACAATCAAGAATACTAGATTATTTGGCATCCCTGCTGATGCCTAGGCTGGTTTAAGCTGGATTTTTCAGTAGGGTATGGCATTACATGGCTTTTCAATCAGTAAATGTCATTATAATGGAAGTCAATGGGGCAAAACAGTCACGAACATAACAAAAGGGTAGTAAATTTGAACTGTACACAAGGGTTAATAATATCAAAACAAGGAAGAGAACATTGTTTTTATTTCCCATTACAGGGATGATTATCTGCATTCATCAGAAAGAACAAAAGCAGATCATAAATTTGTTCTAGTGTTTCTTCAGTCAAACTGCTCTCCTGGTATGAGGTGGACGAGTCTGGTCGTAGCCCCAGGCGGAGACCTCACCCACCCTCCCAGTAAAATGATACACCAGAAAACATAAGTCTCTTTCAGTTAGCAAGGGGTGAACAACAATGCTCAACTGGCCACTCAACGACATTCCAGTTATAGACAAAAGGTGAAGTTGCTCAGCTGATGTAGTACATTTTATATTATAATAACAACTTGCACATTATCATGTTTTTATTTTATTATTATTAATATTTTTAGAATAATGAAAAAATAAATTAAAAGGCAAGCTTTTTTTTCTTTGCGCACACACAAGACACGTTACTTATAACGTTACTTACCAAGTTACTTCTACCTAATGCATTAAACCAATTGTGGCTGCTTACGGTGAGGACGCTTGGAGAAAATAAATAATTAACAGTAATAGTATATGGTATTAACTGCGATTATGCTCGAGGAAACAAGTTAAAGATGCTCCCTATTAGCTAAAAAAGCATACATTAAAATAATTTCGCTAGCTAAATAGGTTTAAAAGAACCATATGAGGCATACCTGTTATTTTTAACTTCTTTTGAATGGCGTTATCAACAGATCAGCGATGGACGACTGCAGTGTGTTTAGGCAATGAGCTTCCGCAGGTACTGGGTGTGACACCTTTCACAGGTTTGGCTCATTTGCATATGAAGCCTCTCCTTCGTCTGTCGAGGATGATTTCTTCTTCCAGGAGTGTGTAGAGTTCGGGAACGCGATAAACCACAAGTTTGTCTAATTAGCCCTATTTGTATAAACCATTATGAGGGATGTAAACAAAAACGATAGTCCCAAAGTTTTTCCGGTTTTACATTTTTTCTATAGCTTCCGAGAATCCAAAAAGAGGCACATATTGATAATCTTATGATAGCTGTTTTGACATTAACTTATGATAGAATTGCCTGTTACAGGTATAAATAGTTTGAGAACAAGCTGGAAATGTTCATGGGCCAATGACATGACCACATTGAAATGGTCTTTTAAATAATTGTTTAAATTATAATCCTTTTATAGTGAAATGAATGTTATTTTCCTAGCGTTTATCTGGTGTGTGTGTGTGTGTGTGTGTGTGTGTGTGTGTGTGTGTGTGTGTGTGTGTGGTGCCATTATAGGCTCGCAGTGGGTTTGCTTTATATACAGAGAGTGTTCATTCATTCATTCATTCATTCATTTTCTTTTTGGCTTAGTCCCTTTATTAATCTGGGGTCGCCACAGTGGAATAAACCGCCAACTTATCCAGCAAATGTTTTACACAGAGGATGCCCTACCAGCCAAAACCCATCACTGGGAAACACCCATAAACTCATGCAACATGCAAACTCCACACAGAAATGCCAACTGACCAAGCCGGGGCTCAAATCAACCGGCTGTGAGGCTACCCACTGTGCCACCACACCGCTCCTACAGTCAGTATGTCTTTTTTTATTCCTAATATATTGCATGAAACAGCTAAAATGCATATATAATACGCAGAGTAACAAAACTATTATCCTATTATCCATAACATTTAATACATGTCATTTTAAACTTATAACGTAATAATGTGTGGGTCCTTTGGCTTGACTTGACATTTATGAAAAAAAAAAACTATTTCTGGCTTTCTAAAAAAAAGTTTCCCTCTAAAAAACAGAACAGAAAGAATTAAAGGGTTTATTACAATAAATATTTTAAACAAATATATTGGGTCAATAATAGATCTTATTATAATGGTTAGACATTAAAATAAAACATGACAGATTCAGAATAAATATGCAAAGTTTGATTATATCCTAAAATTGTATAAAATACAATAAAATATATATATAGTCATAGTCAACAAACTATATATATATCAAAAACGCTTTTCAAAAACGCTTTTCAAAATTGTCTTAACACAAGAATGGGTGATCAATAGTTTAGCACAACTTTAATAGAAGAGTGGTGAGGATCCAGTGGTTAGGATAGAAGAGTGTGCTTGTGTGTGTCAACAATCATCAACTCCACAAAAATATAAACACAACACTTTTTTTTCTCCCATTTTTATGATTGAACTTAAAAATTTAAAAACTTTTACTATCCACACACAGTTTGTCAATTATTTTTCGCGCATTTGTGTAAACACTGTGTGAAATCTTTTGCAATTTCAGCAAGATACCAACACACACTGTACGAATCTGTGCTCGCACTATATGGTTTGTGTGCTCACCTGTGGTGGAATAAGTACTGAGAAATCATTCAAGTTAAAGTATCATTACTTGTCCAAAAATGTAGTGCAAGTAGAGTAAAAGTATCTGTTGTAAATATTACTCAAAGTATGAGTGAAAAGAAGAAGGTCGCTTGGTTGCTGGTTCGAGCCTCGGCTCAAGTTGGCGTTTCTGTGTGGAGTTTGCATGTTCTCCCTGCGAAACTGTCACTGTTAAAGCTGTAAACACAATGCTCCTCATTCGGCCATCTCAATCGCAATATTTGCGAAAGTAAACACTATTGTTTATTGTGTACAATATTTAATAATCATATACATCAAAATATATCGATGACGATGTCCAAAAAACCATTATAACTTTAACATCTGTCGTAACCATATATGGTTTGCCTAGATTGTGTGTCCTAGATTGTGTGTGCCTAAAACGTGTGTGGTTCTGCGGGCCTGCAGCTGGATATTGGAGAATAAGGTCAATAGTTTTTCTGTCAAATATGTAATGGCTCTCCTTGCCGACAGGTGGCAGTACAGCTGTTGTGTCGCTGAGAAGATCGCAGGATGTGTTCAATAATCAGTGAAGAAGTGTAGGAAGGAAAGTGCGCTTAGTAAACATTCCGCTAAAATGTTCAGCTGACGTTATATAGTTATTCCTTGAGCATAAATGTAAAGCTAAACATATATTTGTAATTTGTAACGTCGTTTCTGTGTTATTGTGTTTGTGCGCATGACTTGAAATTAGCGACTCACAAGCAAGAAGTCGCCAGGAGAAGTTTTAACAGTCTTCGGTCAGGAGAGGATTGTTATGTTTTTTCGTCATGAGTTATACTTTTTAAAGATTTTTAACTTATGGATGAAATGCCGTCACTTTCGAGTAATGACTGTAATGACCGCGTTGGTGGGAAAAAGGTGAAGAAAAAGAAAAAGAGAAGTAAATCTACAGAGCAGCATGAACTCACTGAAAGTCCACAGGAACAGACTGAGAAACGCCGTAAAAAGAAGAAGAGGAGAAACAGTATTCAGGAAACGGATAGTAATTTGCAAACAAAGAAAAGAAGAAAGCTGGATAAAGAAGGCGAGACTTCAGTGATGGATGATGGTGTCTCAAATCAGCATGAAGAACAAACACAAGAGCTCCAGGGTTCAAGGGAAGGGAAGACTTCTAAAAGAAAGAAAAAGAGAGAAAAGCTGAAACAAACACAAGAGCTTCAGGGTTCAAGGGAAGGGAAGACTTCTAAAAGAAAGAAAAAGAGAGAAAAGCTGAAACAGACAAACTGTGAAGACATAACAAAAGAACAGACTGACATCAGGACAGAGCATGAGGAAGAGCCAAACACGAGTGACCCGCCTGATTTAATCATTACTGATAAAAAGCGCGAAAGTAAAACTCCAAAAAATAACATTGATTCAAAGTTCATGGAAGAACTGAACGAATGGGTCCCTAAAATGAAATTAAGATGCAAGAGTTATATGAATGATATAATAAGGTATGAACTGTCAAGGTTCAAGGAGTTTAGAAAACAAGGTAAGTTATATATAATACTACAAATATATGAAATGTCAGCATTAGGAGTGGGCGAAATGAATAAATATATCACGATTTTTTTCTGAGGAAATCACGATTCACGATTTTTATTCCGATTATTTTTCAAGTTGTTTTTTTAAGACTATTTTGCAAATTACAAAGGTACAATACAACTAAACCAATGTCCCTATATAAAATATACTCTTACCGTGTATGTTTAACAATATTTTAATATGGCGATACAATGTTTTTTCTAATAAAAAAAATGGATCGTGCAGGATTCAAAAATGCTTTTCAAAATTGACTTTAGAATGGGTGTTTAATAGTTTAGCACAACCACTAAATGTGCATGTGTGTTACTTGTTACTTACAAGACATTACTTGTTTTTTTTGTTTCATTATTGAACTCAGAAATGTAAAAGCTTTTTCTATGCACGCACAGTTTGTCAATTATTTTTCCCACATTTGTGTAAACGCTGTGTGAAATCTTTGCAATATCTGCAAGATACCAACAAACACTGTATGATTCTGTGCTCGCACGTTTGTGTGCTCACCACTGGTGAAAAGAGTAATGAGAAATCATTCAAGTAAAAGTACCATTACTTGCCCAAAAATGTAGTGCAAGTAGAGTAAAAGTATCTGTTGTAATTAAATATTACTCAAAGTATGAGGGAAAAGTACTCAAGAGTAGTGAGTATTACGCTGGGAAAAATTTATGCCTTTACATGTAATCTGTGGATGTCTGTAAACGTAACATTCTTTAGTGCATTTATTTATTGCCCAGCAGGCACACAGCATCATAAAACGTTAATATTAGGTTAGATTTAGGCTAATGAGAGGTGACCAAAATTCAATGTCTAGCCAGCATCTAAGGACATTGTTATTTTGATGTCCAATTTGGTTGATTTTAGGTTGTTAGAAAGTGAACAAAATCCAACGTCAAGCCAACATCTTAAACCAACATCATATTGACGTCAAATACTGATATTTATTCGTCAAGTATGGCAACCAAAATTCAACATCTGGTAGACGTCATAGCGGTAACATCCACACAACCTCAAGCTGTAACATCAGACATCTTCTCATCAGTGACATGCATCTAAACAGTCTCTGGGTCCATGCATGTAAAGATTTTGCACATCTTCTTGGGCACTTTTAAAGCTTCCAAGCAGTTTGCTTTAATTATAAATTGCTCGTGTCTTGAGGTAATTCATTATGGTGCGATTTACCTTCTGTATGTGATTTGAATGGACAGCAATCACAGAACTGATTTTTCTAATCCCCAGAGACAAGAAAAAAAAAGTAGTGGAGTAGAAGTACAGATGCAGAATAAAATATACTCAAAGGAAAGTAAAAGTTCACATTTTTAAATCTACTTAGTAAATTACAATTCCTGAGGAAACACTACTTAATTACAGTAGTTTGAGTATTTGTAATTAATTAATTATTTTACACCACTGGTGCTCACGCTGTTTGTTCAGCACTGAATACTCACAGACTGCTTTTGGAATTCAACATGTCTCACTCCCTTCTTTTTATTCAGGAATGGTTGGCAAACCAGCATATTGTGTGTTTATGGTGGTTATATTGCATATGTTGTGGAAAGAAAGAAATTTAAACACCATTTCACTTCTGTTCAAATCTGTTTCTCGCACATATATGAATAGAACATCATACACTTTTGAATTGTTTCTGTGCATTGTTAAATATCCTTTAATATGCACCGTCACATCCCTGTGAACCTGGAATTGTGTGTGTCTGTTTTTGTGCAGGTGCAATGAGGGCACAAACAATGAGTTCAGCACAATCCGTTTGCAGCTATTATTGTATTGTATGATTTCCTCATGAGGGCAAAACCAAAATTTCTGACATCACAGAAAATCCTCTCATTGCTGATTGGGAGAGTTTAATCGCCTCTCCGTTCCACATGTACACAGCATGACAAACGATGCACAACAAAGCTGAAATCGGGCTTGATTCAAAGAGTCACTCAAGTCAGAAATCTGACCTAAAATTGTACAGTGTATGGCTGGTCTTAATTTATCCTTTACCAAGATAATCCATTCACCTCGCAGGTGTGGAATATCGAGATGCTGATTAGAGAATTCATTTGATATCATACATATTGCACGGGAGTGCCTTAGACTGGCCACAATAAAAGGCCACACTAAAGTGTGCAGTCTTATCACACAGCACAATATCACAAGTCACAGATATCATGAGTTTTGAGGGAGCGTGATGGCAGGAATGTCCACCAGAGCTGTTGCAGATGAATTAAATGTACATTTCTCTATCATAAGCCGTCTCGGCATCTCCAAAAGCTTTTCAGAGAATTTTGTAGCCCACAGTAATTTTATTTGCCCTTTTATGTTTTGTGACAGGCATCGAAATGAGAACTGGAAGATTTTCCACTGCAGAAAATGAAAGGTTAAGGCAGAACGTAAACAACTTTATGGCTCTCACAGGAGTGACAGATGCTGTCAAGCTCTTTTTTCCCAGCCGGTACCCAAAAGAAGCAAATGCACTGAGAAAGTTGAAAAAGAAGCACAGGTTTTTTGAAAGTATTGGTGAGTGATTTGACCTCTTCTCTAGATGTTGATTGTGTCTAAGATCATCCGTTTGTAGATTTTAAACCACATATGAGCTTTTACATTTTACATATACTAACATGAAAAGATCCTTCACCCAAAATGTAGTGCTTTGTCGTCATTTGTCATCAAATTACAAATTTTCCATGCCAGAATGAACTGAAGTTTTCACATTACTCCATTATGGTTAGCTAATACAATATGCAAATGAATTGATCCCTTCAACCAGGGCCAGCCCAGGCCTTCAGGGGGCCCTAAAGCTGGATTCATACTTTCGCCTGGCGCCGCATTGCGCACCTCCGCTGACTGTGCATGCACCTCGCGAAAAGGACAAAGCTTTTATCCGTGTCACGTTCATCGTTGTGATATTTTTTAAAACGACAGGGGATGGTCAAAAGGAACTGACTGTAAAATCAGACGGATAAACAGAAGTTTCCGGAACTACGTCATATCATTATTAATATCATTCAATATTTGTAAACCAATAATTGTTTTTATAAATTATTTAAATGATTATAAAGATTTTTATAACCATTCAAGATTTTTTTTAATCAAACCTTGATGCATCACTTGCTTTTGTTCATATCTTAGACAGTTTTACCTATTAAAGTATTGATGACAACAGAACATGAGTTGCTTTACAAATATATTTTTATTAAAGCAAGAATAAAAAAAAAATGTATTCACTGATGATAACTGATTCATTACGCATGTATTACACAACATAATTATTATTACAAATATTATTTACTGTCATCATGGCAAAGATAAAATAAATCAGTTATTAGAAATGAGTATTATTTGTTATTATTAATAAGATAAGACTTCATATATACAATACAGTTGAAGTCAGCATTATTAGCCCAGATTTTTAAACATAATAGTTTTAATACCTCATTTCAAATAACTCATTTATTTTATCTTTGTCATGATGACAGTAAATAATATTTGACTAGATATTTTTCAAGACACTTCTATACAGCTTAAAGCCACATTTAAAGGCTTAACTAGGTTAATTAGGTTAACTAAGCAGGTTAGGGTAATTAGGCAAGTTATTGTGTTACTGGTTTGTTCTGTAGACTAAAAATTAGCTTAAAGGGGCTAATAATTTTGTCCTTAATGTTTTTAAAAAAAACTAAAAACTGCTTTTATTCTAGCCAAAACAAAACAAATAAGACTTTCTTATATATTTAATATTTATAATTAAATATTGCCATATTTTTAATGGCGTTCAACATAAAGTTTAATGTGTATAAATGCTCTTTATAATTTACTTTTTTTCACCCAAATGTCGTCATGTTATATCATTATATTATCAGTATTATTTGTTAAATGGGCGGCATAAAGTTCGTTAAACTGCTGAAACGCTCTTAAATAAAGAAATCTTATTTTGCAAGTGTCTAATTTGTAGCCCTTCGTGTTATATGTGACTTAAATGTGGCCCCCTCTGTGCTTGATTACCCCTTCATTAAACTTGCAAATGATACAGTTAAACAGACTTTGTGTCTTCAATGTGGAGCTGAATGAATGTATAATCTGTTGTTCCTTAATTTTTCATTTGCAAGCTGTGCATTGAACATTTTAGAGAAACTAAATACATTTCAAATGTTGCTTAATAAAGTTGTTCTTCTCTCTCTGTCAAAATTGAACAGCGGATGGAATTCCCAGGTTTTGTAATGATGTTTACGATCGTGGAGCGAGGGTCTATGATGATAGAAACTATAAGGGACAGTAAGTAAAATATTATTTACATAGATCATATTATAGTTCTGCTCTGGATGTTCTGTGCTTAACCTCAATCATTTCCCTTTTCTCAAAAGTTTTTCTGAGGAAGAAGTAAAATTACTGCTCAAGTATTATAAACGATATGGCAGGGACTTTAAAAAGATTTCTGACAAGACAAATCGAAGTTGTCGCAGCCTTGAGAGTCGGCTTTTATTCATAAGTAAGTCTAATTCATTAAGCTTCCACTCACAATTTTCAGTTGTCAATCGCAGCTTATTTTATATCTCTGTACGCTTTTACGATTTTATACGTTTTATAGTTCTACACTTCTTATATCTTTATTAATCACACAGCTGAAAGAAAGGGACCGTGGAGTTCAAAGGAGGTGCAGAGGCTTTTAAGGGCTGTGCGAGACTATGTTGTATCTGTGCTGAAGTCTGCAAACCCTAATCAAAGGAAACCAAAAAGAGTCAATAAAGAAATACTGTACAAAAAATTGCCCTGGACTAAAATTGCTGGGCAGGTGAAAACTCGATGTTGGATGACATGCAAATCGAAATGGTGAGAGAGCACTTCTATATTGTGTTGTTGTTTTCATGCATTTTATATGATTTTTCTCTTCATATGAACATTCTTCATATCAACATTGTCCTGATTTTTTTACTTTTCCCCTAAGGATGACTATACTCACTGCTCGGATGTCCTCAGGGACTACATTTAGAGGCAGAAAATCTCAGGAGGCCAAAATCAAACTCATTAAAGCGTAAGAGATCTTGTTTTTACATGCTTGTATTGCTTGTGTTATCTTAACATGTTTTTCTTGTTTTACATTTAATATTGTAATAATGTTGTAACACTGATCTTTTGACACAGAATGTATGAATTGCAAGTGGAGGATGCTGTGGATGTTCCCTGGGAGGATCTCACAGCTGTTTTCGGGTGAGAATTATTTGCTGAGTCTACAAGAGGCAGAATTTTTTTCAGGCAGAATTTGTCCAATTCTCTCTCATATTCATTAAAAAAAAAAAAACACTCTGCCTTTTTTTGGCTCATTTTGCAAATCCTGTTAATCAGTTGAGTTTTCCTTTTTAAAATCCTTTCAGTCGATCTTCAAGCCTGGCGGGAGCACTTTTAGCTTAGCATAGCATAGATAATTAAATCACATTAGACCAGGGGTGTCAAACTCATTTTAGCTCAGGGGCCACAAAAAGTAAAATCTGTTCGCCAGTGGGCCGGACTGGTAAAATCATGGTGGTTAAGTCGTTGCACGACATATTTGAAGAGCGGAGGGGAGTGCGTGGCGACGTATGTGAAGCTATGATGTGAAATCAGGTGGGAAGAGAGAGGAGTGTGCAACATATTTGAAGAGCGGGTTTGAGACGTGCAATTTGCCAGGATATTATCATTAGTTTGCAGACATTCAGGGGCCTCTATGCATATGCTGGAGACTTCTGGGACCTCTGTGAGACTTGGGATGTCTGCAGAATGATATCAGGGTGTCTCATGCAGCACTGTGAAGTTGCATAGTTGTTACATAGCTAAGGATAAGGCATATAAAACATAAGGATGACGGCTATAAAAACAGCGGCTTCGAGCTCCTCTGGAAAGACACCTTGCGAGGTTTAGTTCAGAGAGAAGTTCGGCTTTAATATCAGCTTTCGCTTTAGCAGATGAAATGGATACTTTATTGATCTCTGCCACTTGCAGCAAATATTTTTTTCGAAAGCGATCTAATCACTTTAACAACAGAGAATCAATAAAAGCTTTCACTTCAGCTTCCATTTTCCTCCCCCTCACCCAAATTTATACCACAATAACGAGTGAAGGAGATAAAGTTTTACTCACCCAATTCGACGCACAGACAAACAAAAGGCAGATGAGCTTTCACACAAACTTTAGGACGAGCCCCCAATTATGTTACGTAGCGGATGCACTTCGCTACGCACATAAGGTTAAGAATGACCGCTATTAAAAGAGGTCACCCGGAGTCCCCGTTCCTGCTCCCCAAGCACACACACACAGGCCAAGTTGTCAAAAGGGGTAACAAATTTAATAAACAAAAAGATCAATATCAGAACCAGGGAACAAAAAGGCCAAAACAACAAACAAAACAAGGTACGCTACCTAATATTAAATTTCTTACCTAAACCGATAATAAAGTTCCGTAAATAAAGCATACAATTCTACCCTCCAGAACTAACCATAAATCATGAGAAAACAGGACAAAAGAAAAAGGGCCTTCCCTTTGATCATTCAGCAGTAAGGTAAACATTAGCCACAGCTAACACAGAATACCGTCCTAGTACCAAATTTAACAGAGTATCTCACCAGATAATTTTGTAACAGGGTTGTAGAAAGGAATTAAACCATCAGCCACCGCTAATGCAGGTTACCGTCCTATTACCGTATTTAACAGAGTATCTCACCAGATTACTTTGGAAAAAGGTTTCAGACAGAAAGATATCTCTGCCACACAGAGAACTCTGAGCATCTGCTCACTCACACACACACACACACACCAGCGAGGGGAAACAGAGCGTCAACAGCGTGCTTTTATCGCTGGCGCCGCCCCTCTCACAGCTGCACATGATCTCCGCTCATGTGGACATAAAGAGACAGATATTAGAGGATACAACACACACAGGAACAATACACACTAGCATTGTCAAAATGATGTTACTTAATATGTAACAATAGTTTATTTGACTCCTGATATCTGGCATATTTTAGCTTTCACCAGCGCATCAATATCAGTCACATCCTGACTGAGAGCCAACTTCCGGAAATGATCGCAGTGCTTGTTTTCTTTTATTTATGCTTATTACAAAGAAAACGTTCTCACAAAGATATGTGGTTCCAAACATAGAGGCTTATTTGTATGAATTCGTATGATCTCATACATACAATTTAGTATGATTTGCTTATCCACCAATGATGGTTAGGTTCAGGGGTGTGGTTGGGTGCCACACCTCTTTTTTTTTTTAATCTTTTTTTTTAATTAGCCACTAAACTGACAAAACGTAAAATAGTTATGTTTCCTCTTGAGATCACCTCAGTGCGGTATGGCAGGGTATAGATGAGGTCTTGTTCTCTGAGAAGGCTGTCAAACTGACACTGATTCAGGCTTCTGGATCAGATAAATTAATAGTTTGCTATTGCGCCATGCAGTGGACACAATTAGAACTAGGGCTGTAACGATACACCAAACCCACGATTTGGTTCGTATCACGATTTTTTTTTTCGTGGGGGGTGGGAAAAAAGATTTTTAAAACTATATATTTTTTAAATAGATAACATTTGAAAAATCTTTATAAACTAAACATCAAAGAACAATATTAACTGTGCAAATTATTAACAATATAAATAGCCATATATAAAATAAATAAATAGCCAAAGCTATAACACTTCAGCTTTTTTTGTAGCAAAATATTTTTGTACACATCCATTGTGGAGATGATTCAAGCATGTTGAAAATTCTTTTTCAATCAAGTTCTCTTACATTGAAAAAGTAAATTAAATGGCTACTGTTTCACACTGAGGTAACTGAGGCTTAATGCCTGTGCTGCAAATCAAGTAAACATAAACAAATAAACAACTTATTTCTCTTAAGAAAACCAAACTCTTTGGATTTAAGGGAGTTGAAAATTCTGCTTCAGAAACACCATCTTGTCAACATTGCAGTGAAAAAACGTGAAAACTTTCCTTACTCTGCCGAGGAGTCGGGACATCTGGTGAAAGCCCATCCCTCTCTGCACAGCCACTTTAACAGTGTGAGCAAAGCATCGTTCGACAGCATTGGCAATGTTTCTGCCGTTGTCAGTTTTCAAGCGGGGTTAAGTTGGTTTTGTTTTTGATTTTCCTGACACATTTAGACGGTCCCATACTAAGAGCTCCGCACGAGCTCTCCCGGCTTAAACGGAGCGGTGCTCGTAATGTCGAGCGAAAAAAAAAAAAAGGAAGTCACGGGGTGTGTCGCGATTCTCCCTTATCACACAGGATCGTAGATCAGAGTGTCACGATTTCGGTTTCATATTGTCTATCGTTACAGCCCTAATTGGAACAGCAGTTTCTTTTATTGAAAAATTGCAGGAATAGCTCATACTTTACAAAATCATCTCACGGGCCGTACGTTTGACACCCCTGCATTAGACCGTTTGCATCTCGCTCAAAAATAACCAGTTAAATAACCTTGAGATGGATGAGCTACAGCAGCAGAAGACCACTCCGGGTGTCACTTCTGTCAGCTAAGAACAAGAAACTGAGGCTATAATTGGCACAGGCTTACCAAAATTGCACAATAGAAAATTGGAAAAACGTTGCCTGGTTTGATGAAATTCAAATTCTGCTGCGACATTTGGATGGTAGGGTCAGAATTTGGCATCAACAGCATGAAAGCATGGATCCATCCTGCCTTGTATCAACAGTTCAGGCAAAAAGCATTGGAAGCATTATGAACAGTAGGTGAAATATGATATGGAGGATATCATGTAGAAATTGCTCAATCTGGAATAACATATCCTCAGCTGAGTTAAATTAAGCAGGGCATAATGGCATCTGAGCACAGTAAAGTTACATTATTCCAGTTTTCAGCAAGTAACCATAATGGTGCACCTGCATGTTCAGGCATAATAATGCAGCTGCTGGTGTAAACATGCTTAGCGTCACATCTTTGTCCTTTTTGTCTCATAGGGATGTCCTTCCATCATACGTTCAATCAAGGTGGCACAAGCTTAAAGTCAACCATGTGCCAGATTGGAAAAACAAGTCTTTTGCAGGTTGGTGTTTTCTTTTATAGATGGACCACTGCTTTCTTTTGTTTCCTGTAGTACACTCTATAGACCAATTACCATGTTTGTAAACATTCAATATGCGCACGGAGCGAGGTGGCAGAAAAAAATTAGAAGCGCTAGAATTTACAGCAAGAGAATGACATGCGATGCGGTACAGAGTTTGTTGTTGTCTTAGAAATAAGATATACATAAGATATATATATTATTTACATAATGCTTTTAGCGTATTATAACAGCTCGTCACCCAGTGATAAGCATAGTGATTCAGAAAAATTAACGTTAAAGTGAGCGCTATTCGTCTGGTAGGACCATTTGCGATAGCACCCTCCCAATGGATATTGGATAAGACGAAATGACCAAGCATCCGGCCCCAAATATACAATCTCATTGAAGTTCCAAGTGATTTTACAAGAGAGGAGTTAAAGGCCTACAAGACTTTAAATACCAACAATTTAGTTCTGTGTGGTCATGTGCAAGAAATAATGGTCCATGATTACCAGATTTAACATTATGTAGTGCTAAAAACTGAGATTCTGCTTAGCCAAAGACAAGCAAAGAAGATGGAGCTGTGCAAGGCCTGGGCAATTAATCATCAACAAGCAAAAGGACTGCATTCTGACAGCGAACTACACCTGTACGGCAGAGTATGTGAACTTACACATAAACTTGCACATTCAGACTTTCTCCTTAATAATATAATTTCATAAAAGTACTATTTGCAAACTCTAAATAGTGAAATCATATTAGCTGCCAATGACTATCAAAGTACAAGTCAAGTGTTAATGTTGTGTTCAAGTCACACTTGCAGGTTATTTCAGACTGAATATTCAAAGTGCCGTGGTAAACAATATAGAGAGTGTGTCACAAGTTGTCACTGAATGAATGTGTGAATATAAAACCAAGTTTACCTTAATAACTTACACCTTTACATTTCTTAGCATTCAGTGTCCGCAGTTAAATTAACCATATGTAACAGTTTTTGATGAAATAATTTCTGCAATCTAAAACGAGTAACGTGTATGATTCAGCATAGTGTGAACTGATATAACATGAGAACTGCAGAGTCCAGCATTTCTAATTTGGTCGTCACTTCATTCAGCTCCCTTTAAGCTAAAGATGTCTGCAATTGACATTTGGCATCCTATCGCACAACACCAAATTTTTACTATTTCAGCTTGTCTTTTTTGCAACCGGGGACCCATGTGACGACCTCCGTGAAGTTGGCACCCCATAAAAACAAATAATCCCCAAAACTATGCCATTCGTTTGTGCTACATTTGTGCTGATTTGTGCCGCAAAAACGAACGTTTGTGCTGGTTTGGGGTCTGAGATATTAAGCATTCATTTTTTGACCGTGTGACGTCACTCTCCACCCCATGTTGCGCAAATGACTTCAAAACAGCACAGGTCGTTTGTGCTCGATTTGTGCTGGTTTGTGCCGTTAAAACGAACACGGTATCTGTTTTCCTCTTTTAGATATAAGCAAAATATTTCGGGAGCCGTGACGTCACTCTTCACCCCATTTTCTCTAAATCGCACAAAACTGGTGTCTTTCGTTAGTGCTGGATTTGTGCTGGTTTGTGCCGTTAAAATAAACACTTTATCTATTTTCGTTGTTTAGATATAATCAAAATATTTCGGGAGCCGTGACGTCACTCTCCACCCCAGGTTGTCTAAATCACACCAAACTGGTCTCATTTGTTAGTGCTGGATTTGTGCTGGTTTGTGCCGTTAAAATAAACACTTTATCTACGTTTATTGATTAGATATTGCCTAATCTAAACATTTCGGGAGCCGCAATGTCACTCAGCGCCCCAATATTTCCTCTAAAGTGCACATAACAGGTGACATTTGTTAGTGCTGGATTTGCGCTGGTTTGTGCTATTAAAATAAACACTTTATCTGTTTGTATTGTTTAGATATTGCCTAATCAAAACACTTCGGGGGTCGCGACGTCACTCAGCGCGCATAATTTCCTCTAAAGCGCACAAAACAGGTGACATTCTTTAGTGATGGATTTGTGCTGGTTTGTGCTAATAAAATAAACACTTTATCTACGTTTATTCATTAGATATTGCCTAATCAAAACATTTCGGGAGCCGTTATAAGTTTAAAATGACATGACGATTGGAAAAGCGGCTTTTAGAGACAAACTATATACGAAATTTGTTTCGAAAAGATATTTTTTTCCAAGCAAAATATATGAATTATAATTAAGTTTAAGGCCAACTGTGTGGGTGGATCATTTTCAGTCAGTGGAAAGTATTAATTTAATTAATGCCTCACTATTGTATCACAATCTTCTGTCATATATTTGCAATTTTTTTAATATGTCATAACACAAACGAGACTATTTTAGTAAATATGTAGCAACTGGGGTGGGGAGACCTCTTAATGATCTGATATATATTTTTTTTTTACAAATTTTTAGCAGCACAAACGAGCACAATTTGTGAGCAAACGAAAGTAACATATTTGTGCACAAATATAAATATCTGGTGTTCATTTTCATGGCACAAACCAGCACAAATCTTACCAAATATTTCAGTTATATCCAAACATGGAAAACAGATAAAGTGTTTATTAACGCACAACCAGCACAATTAAATGACACCTGTTTTGTTGCATATAGAGTGACGTCGCAGCTCCCGAAGTGTTTTGATTAGGCAATATCTAAACAATACAAACAGATAAAGTGTTTATTTTAATAGCACAAACCAGCACAAATCCATCACTAACGAATGTCACCTGTTTTGTGCGCTTTAGAGGAAATAATGGGGTGCTGAGTGACATCGCGGCTCCCGAAATGTTTTGATTAGGCAACATCTAATGAATAAACGTAGAAAAAGTGTTTATTTTATTAGCACAAACCAGCACAAATCCATCACTAACGAATGTCACCTGTTTTGTGCGCTTTAGAGGAAATAATGGGGTGCTGAGTGACATCGCGGCCCCCGAAATGTTTTGATTAGGCAATATCTAATGAATAAACGTAGAAAAAGTGTTTATTTTATTAGCACAAACCAGCACAAATCCAGCACTAATGGATGACACCCGTTTTGTGCGATTTAGACAACCAGGGGTGGAGAGTGACGTCACGGTTCTTGAAATATTTTGATAAGGCAATATCTAAACAATAAAAATAGATAAAGTGTTTATTTTAACGGCACAAATCCAGCACTAACAAATGAGACCAGTTTGGTGTGATTTAGACAACCTGGGGTGGAGAGTGACGTCACGGCTCCCGAAATATTTTGATTATATCTAAACAACGAAAATAGATAAAGTGTTTATTTTAACGGCACAAACCAGCACAAATCCAGCACTAACGAAAGACACCAGTTTTGTGCGATTTAGAGAAAATGGGGTGAAGAGTGACGTCACGGCTGCCGAAATATTTTGCTTACATCTAAAAGAGGAAAACAGATACCGTGTTCGTTTTAACGGCACAAACCAGCACAAATCGAGCACAAACGACCTGTGCTGTTTTGAAGTCATTTGCGCAACATGGGGTGGAAAGTGATGTCAGACGGTCAAAAAATTAATGCTTAATATCTCAGACCCCAAACCAGCACAAACATTCGTTTTTGCGGCACAAATCAGCACAAATGTAGCACAAACGAATGGCATAGTTTTGGGGATTATTTGTTTTTATGGGGTGCCAACTTCACGGAGGTCGTGTGACGTCATGTGTGACGTAGGTTGGTAATTGGTCTATAGATGGACATTCAAGTTGCAAAAAGTCTAATCAAATAATTGGATTAGAGACTCAACATAGTTTTGTAAACAAGTGCAAATCTCAGGAGACTTGCCAACATGTCTGGTGTACAATCATTTAAAAAATCAAATCTAGTTTAAATTGCCTGCTTATATTCTACGTCTGTGATGTTTTCTTTCAGACATTGTTGACTTTCTCTATGAGAATGTTTTGCCAGGCCTGGTGAAAGACTGCGAAGACCTTGATGATGATGAACTAAAGGTTGACCAGATGAACAGTTTCCGGCTAGCAGATATTTTTCAGGACATTAATGAGGATGAATGCTGTGACAGTGATGAAGAAACTGGCCAGCAGGAGAAAAGCAGCTCTGCTTAATCAGTTGCAGTCAGTGGAAATATTTGGATGTTTTAAAGAAGAGATGTGTTCAGGTTGTACATAGTTGCCTTTTTATTCTTGTGGTTTTTAATGAATCGGGGAGCAAGTAAACTGCAGTTTTATTGCATTTTAAATTTATTCTGTATATAAAATATGATTCATTTTGTTTGTTAAACAATTGTTTTTACTATTGTGCTCTTAGAACACTTTTTAACACAGGGATATGTTGTTTTATATTTGGTTTTTCTTTATTAAAAAAACCTTTATTTGAAAACTGCAAGAAGTGTTTACTTGAGTTATCAATATTTAAGATCTATATAAAATTTTTTGTTGAAAAGAAAAGACCTTAGTTTTGCCAATAATGTGCTTTCAGATGTCGCGTCACTTCATGTTAAAACTGCTGCTGTTTTACAGGTTTGCCTCATTTGCATATGAAGCCTCTCCTGCGTCTGTCGAGGATGATTTCTTCCATATGGAGTGTGTAGAGTTCGGGAACGCGATGAACCATGAGTTTATCTAATTAGCCCTATTTGTATAGACCATTTTGAGGCATGTAAACAAAAACAATAGTCCCAAAGTATTTCCAAAGTAGGAAAGGGGGGGGGTTCAGCTTAGTCCCTTTATTAATCTGGTGTCGCCACAGCTGAATGAACCGCCAACTTATCCAGCATATGTTTTACACATTGGATGCCCTACCAGCCACAACCCATCACTGGGAAACGCCCATACACTCATGCAACATGCAAACTCCACACAAAAATGCTAATTGACCCAGTCGTGGCTCAAACCAACCGGCTGTGAGGCTACCCACTGTGCCACCACACCGCTCCTACAGTCAGTATGTCTTTTTTTATTCCTAATATTGCATGAAACAGCTAAAATGCATATATAATACGCAGAGTAACAAAACTATTATCCTATTATCCATAACATTTAATACATGTCATTTTAAACTTATAACGTAATAATGTGTGGGTCCTTTGGCTTCACTTGACATTTATGGAAAAAAAACTATTTCTGGCTTTCTAAAAAAAAGTTTCCCTCTGAAAAACAGAACAGAAAGAATTAAAGGGTTTATTACAATAAATAATTTAAACAAATATATTGGGTCAATAATAGATCTTATTATAATGGTTAGACATTAAAATAAAACATGACAGATTCAGAATAAATATGCAAAGTTTGATTATATCCTAAAATTTTATAAAATACAATATATATATATATATATATATATATATATATATATATATATATTTAAATTGATAGTTGTTTACTTTAAATAAATATAATATGGCAGCTTGGCGTTGCAGTGAGTAGCACAATCGCCTCACAGCAAAAAGGCTGGGTCAGTTGGCATTTCGGTGTGGAGTTTGCATGTTCCTCCCTGTGTTGGCATGGGTTTCCTCCGGGTGCTCCAGTTTCCCCCACAAATCCAAAAACAAGCCCTGGAAGTCCAGAATGGGTGACTAAATCCTGGGCAAGCTGGACTCGATGGACTGCCCTGTGAGGCGTCTCTCAGAGGCCTTTGGCAGCCAAAACCAAGCCCAGTAAGGGTGACTGATTGCCAGGTGAGATGGACTCGAGGGACCGCTCCGGGAGGAATGAATGAACGAATGTTTGCTTACAAAACCTTTTTTTCAAACTAATATTATGTTCCCTAGTGTTGGTGATGTGCTATCAATAAATATATGAGAGGCTCTAAAGAAAATATTTGAAAAATATTTCCTAAATATTAAAATTTAAAATAAGTTTGTCTGTTTGTGTTTTATTGATGTACTTTCATGTGTTGATGCCCTATATGTATCGTCCCTTCTTTTTTCTTTTGTCTTTCAGTTTTCAGTGTACAAAACAAAAGAACAGCTCTCTATAATTAATTCTTGTCTAAAAAAATTGGGCAAAGCTTTGACATATGACAGTAATTAACATTTCTAAATGGCGGGGAGGGGGTGGCGCAGTGGGTAGCACGATCGAAAAAGGTCGCTGGTTCGAGCCTTGGCTGGGTCAGTTGGCAGTTTTGTGTGGAGTTTGCATGTTCTCCCCGTGTTTGTGTGGGTTTCTCCGGGTGCCCTGGTTTCCCCCACAAGTCCAAAGACATGCGGTACAGGTGAATTGGGTATGCTAAAATTGACCGTAGTGAATGAGTGTGTGTGGATGGTTCCAAGTGATGGGTTGCAGCTGGAAGGGCATCCTGTACGTAAAACATATGTTGGATAAGTTGCCGATTCATTCCTCTGTGGCGACCCCAGATTAATAAAGGGACTATGAATATTAAATGAATGGTTTAAATGAATGAATAATTAATTGATTTTATGTGTGGATAATATATAACTAAATGTATAAAAACAATATTAAACAATGTTATTTTTCTCATTTTAGGCTTGAACTGACTGAACATTTATGTTTATATTTTAATTATTCAGAAAATTAAGGTTTAAAATCTTTAGATATTTGTATAGAAATAATGTACTTGGAATTGCATACTGCTATACAGTTTTTTCTGTCATATATATAATGGCTCTCCTTGCCGACAGGTGGGAGTACAGCTGTTGTGTCGCTGAGAAGATCGCAGGATGTGTTCAATAATCAGTGAAGAAGTGTAGGAAGAAAAGTGCGCTTAGTAAACATTCCGCTAAAATGTTCAGCTGACGTTATATTATTATTCCTTGAGCATAAATGTAAAGCTAAACATATATTTGTAATTTGTAACGTCGTTTCTGTGGTAATGTGTTTGTGCGCATGACTTGAAATTAGCGACACACAAGCAAGAAGTCGCCAGGAGAAGTTTTAACAGTCTTCGGTCAGGAGAGGATTGTTATGTTTTTTCGTCATGACTTTTACTTTTTAAAGATTTTTAACCTACTATGGATGAAATGCCGTCACTTTCGAGTAATGACTGTAATGACCGCGTTGGTGGGAAAAAGGTGAAGAAAAAGAAAAAGAGAAGTAAAACTACAGAGCAGCATGAACTCACTGAAAGTCCACAGGAACAGACTGAGAAACGCTTTAAAAAGAAGAAGAGGAGAAACAGTATTCAGGAAACGGATAGTAATTTGCAAACAAAGAAAAGAAGAAAGCTGGATAAAGAAGGCGAGACTTCAGTGATGGATGATGATGTCTCAAAACAGCATGAAGAACAAACACAAGAGCTTCAGGGTTCAAGGGAAGGGAAGACTTCTAAAAGAAAGAAAAAGAGAGAAAAGCTGAAACAGACAAACTGTGAAGACATGGCAAAAGAACAGACTGACATCAGGTCAGAGCATGAGGAAGAGCCAAATACGAGTGACCCGCCTGATTTAATCATTACTGATAAAAAGCGCGAAAGTAAAACTCCAAAAAATAACATTGATTCAAAGCTCCTGGAAGAACTGAAAGAATTGTGCCCTAAAATGAAATTAGATTTCCGAAGCAGGAATTGTATACAAAGTATAATAAGGTATAACCTGTCAAGGTTCAAGGAGTTTCGAAAACAAGGTAAGCTACATATAATACTATAAATATATGAAATGTCAACATTAGGGGTGGGCGAAATGGGAAAAAAATATATCACGATTTTTTTCTGGGGAAATCACGATTCACGATTTTTATCCCGATTATTTTTCAAGTTGTTTTTTAAGACTATTTTGCAAATTACAAAGGTACAATACAACTAAACTAATGTCCCCACAATCAAATATCGTGTTATCGCACATCCCTAGTTAACATCTTGAATTGGATCAAAAATGCTTTTCAAAATTGTCTTAAGACAAGAATGGGTGTTCAGTAGTTTAAGACAACTTTGATAACAGAGTAGTGAGGATCCACTAAATGTGCATGAGTGTCAACAATCATCAACTCAACAAAAATATAAACACAACACTTGTTTTTGTGTTTTTCATGATTGAACTCAGAAATTTAAAAGCTTTTTTTTATGCACACACAGTTTGTCAATTATTTTTCCCACATTTGTGTAAACACTGTGTGAAATCTTTGCAATTTCAGCAAGATACCAACACACACTGTACGAATCTGTGCTCGCACTAGATGGTTTGTGTCCTCACCAGTGGTGAAAAGAGTAATGAGAAATCATTCAAGTAAACGTACCATTACTTGCCCAAAAATGTAGTGCAAGTAGAGTAAAAGTATCTGTTGTAAATATTAATTAGACCTTTCAAAAGTACTCAAGAGTACAGAGTAGTGAGTATTATGCTGAGAAAAGCTGATGCCTTTACATGTCATTTGTGGATGTCTGTAAACGTAACATTCTGTAGTGCATTTATTTATTGTCCAGCAGGCACACAGCGTCATAAAACGTTAATATTAGGTTAGATTTTGGCTGATGAGAGGTGACCAAAATTCAATGTCTTGCCAGCATCTAAATACATTGTTATTTTGATGTCCAATTATGACGTCAAATGATGTTGATATTAGGTTGTTAGAAAGTGAGCAAAATCCAACGTCAAGTCAACATCTTAAACCAACTTCATATTGACGTCAGATACGCTTGTTATAGGGCTGCACGATATATCGTTTTAGCATCGAAATCGCGATGTGCGCATCCGCGATAGTCACATCGCAGGAGGGTGCGATGCAAAGCAAAAAAAAAAAAAAAAAAAAATCTATATATATATTATGGGTGAAGCCGAACCGGAATACGGTATTCGGAAAAGCACGAATAGCGTGTTTTTACGAATACTTATTTTAAACAATACTTGATAAATTATTTGTATTTGGGAACAAGAAAAACATTATATCAAAAAGCTGCGTTTCCTCATGAGACCGCAGTGCATGCCCGCGTGAGTGAGTAAGTGAGTGAGACGTTCAGGAGTCGGTGGGCGGGGTGGGGCCGGGGTAAGGAGACTGAGCAAGCTGCTTCTCTATACAGCAACAGAGAAGGCTTGGCAGAGCGAAAAATACTTTTCTGCATTACTATTTTTGTTTATTTTATCATACTAAAATAACACGTGACAGTTCACTCAAAAGTGAAAGTTCTTTCTGTTATTAATTACTAACACTCCCGTCATTCCTACTACTTTCAGAACATACATTTTGATATTTTACCATATGAAAATGCAATGCAGTTATGAAAATTGAGAAATTAAAGCAATACAGAGATCTGGTCCCCGCGTCAGGTCAGGGTGCACCTGTAACCTTAAAAACGCAGACGCGGCAGAGGCGCACTAAACTCACACGGAAAAGAACTGGGCATTCAATTCATGTTTTCGTTAAACAATTCTTTAAATACAGCTCTTTTGATCTCTAAAGGGGAAAAAAGCTAAAGAAATTTGTCGTTAAATTAATTTTAGCAAAGACGCAACTGCCTGTCATTTTCACATTCGTTTTTCAGTTAGGGATTTGGTCTATTAGAGTAACCTAATAAAATTGTTTTGTTGGACACTGTAGTCTACACAATAATCAATATTATAATTTATTATATAAATTAGCTATTATTAAAACTAAACTATACAATTGATAAAACAAAACCCTTTTTAATGTTTGCTTTCATTTTGACACCGCTAACAGTTGTAATAAGAAACATCACATTATGCAGAAGCAGTCTTTTGAGTTTAAAGATGATCAGCCTGCCAAGTCAAGTTTACAGTGTCATAAATGAAAGCATGGGTAGCATGGGTAAAGGGGATTTGCCCAGCACACAACCTCATGCGCTGCAGGTAAGCTGAATGATAATCTTTAAAAAATATATAGGGTATGCAATACAAAACTTTAAACATTTATTTATTTTTTTAATGAAAAGAAAAGAAATCAGGAAAGGAAAATATAATTTAAACCACTGGTCTGGCGCTGATACTTTATTGTTTGTATCCAGAAGAAGGGGAAAAAAGCAGATGAAAACCTGGCTGAGGAGACGGCGATAACATATCAGTTCTTCAGCAAAGATCACGACATCATTGTGATGGGTTTATCATACAACGCAGTTCGTGTTTATAAGCATTAATATTAACTAGTATTAATTCTCTCTCTAGATTTAGTTTTCGGGCTTGTTCTTGTCGGCGCAATATAGCCTCGGCTTATTGCACGTACGAATCCGATTGTGAAGAAATATCAAGCGCTGGCATTTTTTATTGCATCCTTTTCGCTAGTTATTCATTTTTTTTTTTTTTTTAGTGGTGCGAACATTATTTACTGGCAAACATGTTCCATGACCTCGTACATCAACAAATAATGTAGCCTACTTAAGTTAATTTACCTTTTATGTAAAAATTACGGAATAACTTAATTAAATATTAATAAATAAAATATCCGTATAAAAGTACATGTTTATTTTTGAACTTTCGTTAATAAAACAACACAAAACTGTTTATAAATATTGTAGTTAAATATTAAATTACTTTAACTGCTTGAAACCGTATAATAATAACAATTAAACGTTAAATTTTTAAGAACTTAACAAATAGTCTAAATGGCACTTTACTAATAAGTGTAATAATAATATAAATATTAATAATTATAAGTAAAAAGAAAATATTAACCTAGTAACAATATAAGTCAGATGTTAAAAAACAGCGTAGTTTCTCTCCACCTTTTGTAGTCATATTTTAAATTATTTGCTAGAAAAACTAACATGTTGACTTTGTCCGGTTTAAGTGAAGAATGGGGTTATAATGTTTCCAGCAATACACTGTCAGACGGTGTGCTTGTAGCGAAAATGCACAGACAGGGTACTTTTTCACAACCATGCGAGAGAGGGCTTCTCCTTCTGTTCCGCCGCCCGCATTTCTCGCGACGCAGGTTTCTCTACTCTGCGGAGCGGCGCGTTCTTAAGTAGTTACCAAATATGTTGCTCCATTTCTCGTCAATGTCTTCCATTTATCACTTTCTCTTTTGTATCTGGCCATTTTTGCAAATGCCTCTGCCATGCCTGGCTGAGCTGGGCTTCTGCGTTTAGAAGACAGGAGTTGATTAAGCCTACATGGCTTTTTTCCCTTGCCGTCAATCGCCACTATCTTGCATGGTTCGGGACCCGTGGATCTGCGTATCGATGGATTTGCTCCTCAGTGTTTGGACTCTCAGCAGTGAATATTAAAACACACTTTACTTAAAACCCCCATACAAAAAGCTTAATCCAAATTGATTCGTTCACCTTTCTCAGTCGGCACATATCCAAAATGTTCCCAGATGTAAGAGTTCGTTTTCTAACAAGGTTCATGGTTGAACTTGAACTTGCTGAATCGCGCCTAATGTTATATTCTAACAGATATGTAATACTTGGCAACAACAGTAATTTGTGTTTTAATGTGCGTGACGTCACGTACTACGGCCGTGACGCGGTTGTCATGGTGACCGTCACAGCCCTAGTTTTAAGTATATATATATATATATATATATATATATATATATATATATATATATATAATATCGCAATATATATCGCAGGGGAAAAAAATATCGCAATGTCAATTTTTTCCAATATCGTGCAGCCCTAGCTTGTTAAGTGGTGACGTATGTAATACTGTTTCCGGGTCCAAGCCGCCATTCATTTAAGTGGAGAAATCATTCGTTTATGATCACGTTTTATTCCTATCACACATTAAAGTTAATTTAATATAAAATCATAGTGTACGCAACAAGCTCTGGGCTTGCTGCATAACAAATACCAAAAATTTAACAATTTATAAAAAAATCACTTTCTGGCCATCGGATATTAGGCATGGACGTATATATTGCGATCGTGATTTTCGAAAGTATTCAATCGCTTCGTAAACGTTTATTATTAACATTTCATGAGTCTCCCCATTCAGTTGAATAGAGCGCTTGGACCCGGAAGCCACTTCGCGTGACGTCACATTTAACAAGTGGATACTGACATTTATTCGTCAAGTATGGCAACCAAAATCCAACATCAGGTAGACGTCATAGCGGTAACATCCACACAACCTCAAGCTGTAACATCATTGGACATTGATGGACGTTGGACATTGACGTTGTCCTGATGTTGAGTTTCGACGTCAACCTGATTTTCATTTTTCAAAATAAGGCAACCTCTATGATGTTAGGGTACAACGTCAATCTGACGTCATGTTGACGTCTTGTGTCTGCTGGGTGTTTAAGGCCATTTCATTCCTCATACAGTAAACAGCCGTCATCTTCTCATCAGTGACATGCATCTAAACAGTCTCTGGGTCCATGTGTGTAAAGATTTTGCACATCTTCTTGGGCACTTTTAAAGCTTCCAAATAGTTTGCTTCAATTATAAAGTGCTCGGGTCTTGAGGTAATTCATTATGGTGCAATTCACCTTCTATATGTGATTTGAATGGACAGAAATCACAGGACTGATTTTTCTAATCCCCATAGACGGGAGAAAAAAATGTGAAAAATAAAATTTCAATGTATTATCTTGGTCACATCTGTATCAAGGCACGTATAGACATGATTTGGCTACATGCAATAAAATTACTAAAAGCTGCTGCGCAATCATCAGTGTTTGATAGCTCAATTAGATAAGTCATAGGTTGACTTCTTTGCGTCTCTTTTCCTAGCAGGTTCGAATCCCATGTACGAGTTTTGTGTATGTAGCCTGATTTTTTAAATTCTGTTTAAAATAAAAAGAGGGGAAGACTGCGATTTATAATGTAGGCTATTTAGCAGGACGTCGTTGTCATTTAGAGCTATTCTGAGAAAATATCAGCTCGTCGACTTTGTAGACACAGGATAACACAAGTCAACGGGACTCTATTATATTCTGATTGCATAATATTCTAATATTCGGTTGCATAATATTATATATGAAATATATATTAGATATATTAGACATAATATGTTGCATAGTAATATCGTCATTGTATTCATTTTTTTTTGGTAAAATCTTTATTTATGTTACATGTGTGAGCATGGGTCACGAGTTAACACGACTTCTAAGACACAGGTGCACATGAGTCTACAACTAAGAAAAAACATGGTTTGAGCAACTGATGAAGCATCGTTTAGTCATTGAGCTATTCTATCAGCGGGAGCGTTTGTAGAAACATGTTAACGCGAGTACATGTAAATAAACAACATGTAAACATGTTAACATCGATGGAGACATGTCAACACGGGTCCACAACCACAGCAAAGCATGTTTTGACTGACAAAGATATTAAATCAGATCACTTTGTGTGTAGTTCTGAGTAGCTCAGTTAGATAAATTGATTGATGCGTGTGCTGAACCTTTTCACTAAACGGGTTCGAATCCTGTTGAAGACGTAAATTCTTTTTTTTTTTTTGGATTAATTTTGGTTATATACTGTATACACTGACACCAAGTAATAAAAATCTTTATTTGGTGTGGACATGTTTTGTTGCTGTTAAAAAGTGACAAATCTGCCAATCTGCAAACGTGAATAGCTTACATCTGGAAAGGGACACCAGTTAACACGGTCACCAGTTAAACCGTAACACCGGATCTCTATTTGCAGAAGAGAAAAGCTCTCGGGTAAACAATGTTCCTAGACACTTAAATTATTGTTGTCGCGGCGCGTTGCGTACACTGTAATCCACACGTCAGTCCAGCTGCGCTCACACAGAGAAAATGAAAACAAAACTTGACTGCAGCAAACTATGAAAACAACACTGCACGCTTGTTTTGCCAACACAATGTGGCGTCTCTGCCGTCTAAACACTGTAACATTAATGAATATTAATGAAGTTGCTCAATAGAGCGCGCTGATTGGTTTAAACCAAGGCTTACTCATGCATTAATGCAGCACACTCGGAGACGTAATACGGTACACCCGTCTAGTCTACACGCTAAGATCTCATGGCCGTGACGCAGCTTCAAAAATTCTTTTCAAACCGGAAGTACGAATTTGCTCGAAATAATGCAAAAACTACCAGTTTTCACTTTTTAGTGAGATATATGTGTCCTAAGAGTGTTTTTAGCCGTGTGGGACACATTTACGACTTTTTTTTTTTTTTTTTTTGGTGTTTTGTGAACCTTTAATTTGTCCTTTACCAAGATAATCCATTCACCTCGCAGGTGTAGAATATCAAGATGCTGATTAGAGAGTTTGTTTGATATCATACATATTGCACGGGAGTGTCTTAAACTGGCCACAATAAAAGGCCACACTAAAGTGTGCAGTCTTATCACACAGCACAATATCACAAGTCACAGATATCATGAGTTTTGAGGGAGCGTGATGGCAGGAATGTCCACCAGAGCTGTTGCCGATGAATTAAATGTACGTTTCTGTATCATAAGCCGTCTCCAAAAGCTTTTCAGAGAATTTTGTAGCCCACAGTAATTTTTTTTTGCCCTTTTCTCTTATGTGACAGGCATCGAAATGAGAAGTGGAAGATTTTCCGCTGCAGAAAATGAAAGGTTAAGACAGAACGTAAACAAATTTATGGCTCTCACAGGAGTGACAGATGCTGTCAAGCTCTTTTTTCCCAGCCGGTACCCAAAAGAAGCAAATGAACTGAGAAAGTTGAAAAAGAAGCACAGGTTTTTTGAAAGGATTGGTGAGTGATTTGACCTCTTCTCTAGATGTTGATTGTGTCTAAGATCATCCGTTTGTAGATTTTTAACAACATGTGAGCTTTTACATTCTACATATACTAACATGAAAAGATCCTTCACCAAAAATGTAGTGCTTTGTCGTCATTTGTCATCAAATTACATATTTTTCATGCCAGAATGAACTGAAGTTTTTACATCTTGCTTAGCTAATACAATATGCAAATGAATTGATTCCTTCAACCAGGGCCAGCCCAGGCCTTCAGGGGGCCCTAAAGCTGGATTTATACTTTCGCCTGGTGCCACATCGCGCGCCTACACTGACTGCGCGTGCACCTCGCGAAACAGACGAGGCTTTTATACTTGTTGTGTTTGCCGTTGTGATATTTTTTAAAATGACAGGGGGCGGTCAAAAGAAACTGACTGTAAAATCAGAAGGATAAACACAAGTTTGCGGAATTACTTCATTTATTATTATCATTCAATAGTTGTAAACAAATTATTTTATTGTTTTTATAAATTACTTGAACAATTATAAAGATTTTAATTACCATTCAATATTTTTTTTAATCAAACTTTCATGCATTCCTTGCTTTTGTTCATATCTTGGACAGTTTTACCTATTAAAGTTGTTTAAAGTATTAATGACAACAGAACATGAGTTTCTCTACAAATATATTTTAATACGGCAAGAATAAAAGCAAAAACAAAACAACAACAAAAAACACAATTTGATTCACTGATGATAACTGATTCATTACGCATGTTATACACAACATAATTTTCACCTTGTATATACAGTTGAAGTCAGAATTATTAGCCCGCTTTTTCTAAACATGATAGTTTTAATAACTCGTTTCTAATAACTGATTTATTTCATTTTTGCCATGATGACAGTAAATAATATTTGACTAGATATTTTTCAAGACACTTCTATATAATTCTGACTTTAACTGTATTTGAGTAAATTTATTTAGGCCTAATTAATTATTAAATATTAATATTAAATATTGGCCTATTTGTAATGGTGTTTAACATAAAGTTTAATAATCTGTGTATAAAAGCTCTTTACAATTCACTTTTTTTCACCCAAATGTCGTCATGTTATATCATTATATTATCAGTATTATTTCTTTGTTAAATGGGCGGCATTTTAAAGTTCGTTAAACTGCTGAAACGCTCTTAAATAAAGAAATCTTATTTTGCTAATGTCCAATTTTTGGTCATTCGCGTTTAATGTGACCTAAATGTGGCCCCCTCTGTGCTTGAGTACCCCTGCGCTAAACTTGCAAGTGATACAGTTAAACAGACTTTGTGTCTTCAATGTGGAGCTGAATGAATGTATAATCTGTTGTTCCTTAATTTTTCATTTGCAAGCTGTGCATTGAACATTTTAGAGAAACTAAATACATTTAAAATGTTGCTTAATAAAGTTGTTCTTCTCTCTCTGTCAAAATTGAACAGCGGATGGAATTCCCAGGCTTTGTGATGATGTTTACGAACGTGGAATCAGGGTCTATGATGATAGAAACTATAAGGGACAGTAAGTAAAATATTATTTACATAGATCATATTATAGTTCTGCTCTGGATGTTCTGTGCTTAACCTCAATCATTTCCCTTTTCTCAAAAGTTTTTCTGAGGAAGAAGAAAAATTAGTGCTTAAGTATTATAAACGATATGGCGGGGACGTTCGAAAGATTTCTGACAAGACAAATCGAAGTTGGCGCAGCCTTCAGAGTCGGCTTTTAATCATAAGTAAGTCTAAATCATTGAGCTTCCTCACAATTTTCAGTTGTCAATCACAGCTTATTTTACATCTTTTTACGCTTTTATATGTTTTATAATTCTACACTTTTTATATCTTTATTAATCACACAGCTCAAAGAAAGGGACCGTGGAATTCAAAGGAGGTGCAGAGGCTTTTAAGGGCTGTGCGTGACTATGTTGTATCTGTGCTGAAGTCTGCAAACCCTAATCAAAGGAAACCAAAAAGAGTCAATAAAGAAATACTGTACAAAAAATTACCCTGGAGCAAAATTGCTGAGCAGGTGAAAACTCGATGCTGGATTACATGCAAAGCGAAATGGTGAGAGAGCACTTCTATATTGTGTTGTTGTTTTCATGCATTTTATATGATTTTTCTCTTCATATGAACATTCTTCATATCAACATTGTCCTGATTTTTCTACTTTTCCCCTGAGGATGTCTATACTTGCTGTTCGGATGTCCTCAGACGCTATATTTAAAGGCAGGTCTTTGGAGGCCAAAATCAAACTCATTAAAGCGTAAGAGATCTTGTTTTTACATGCTTGTATTGCTTGTGTTACATTTTTCTTGTTTTACATTTAATATTGTAATAATGTTGTAACACTGATCTTTTGACACAGAATGTATGAATTGCAAGTGGAGGATGCTGTGGATATTCCCTGGGAGGATCTCACAGCTGTTTTCGGGTGAGAATTATTTGCTGAGTCTTCGAGAGTATATCCTTTTTTTTCAGGCAGAATTTGTCCAATTCTCTCTCATATTCATTTAAAAAAAAAAAACACTCCACCTATTTTTGGCTCATTTTTTGGCTCAATTTCCTGTTATTCAGTTGAGTTTTTTTTTACCCATTTTTAATTTTGTTTAATACCCTTTTTAATCCATTCAGTCGATCTTCAAGCCTGGCGGGAGCACTTTTAGCTTAGCATAGCATAGATAATTGAATCACTTTAGACCAGGGGTGTCAAACTTATTTTTGCTCAGGGGCCACAAAGAGTAAAATCTGTTCACAACAAGTGGGCCGGACTGGTAAAATCATGATGATTGAGTCGTTGCACAACATATTTGAAGAGCGGAGGGGAGTGCGTGGCGACGTTTGTAAAGCTATGATGTGAAATCAGGTGGGAAGAGAGAGGAGTGTGCAACATATTTGAAGAGCGGGTTTGAGATGCGCAATTTCCGGGCGATTATCATGAGTTTGCCGGCATTCAGGGGTCTCTATGCATATGCGGGAGACTCTCGGGACCTCTGAGAGACTTGGGATGTCTGCAGAATGATATCAGGGTGTCTCATGCAGCACTGTGAAGTTGCATAGTTTATTTGACTCCTGATACCTGGCATATTTTAGCTTTCACCAGCGCAGTGACAGCCAACTTCAGGATATGATTCCAGTGCTTGTGCAAGAGTTTTCTTTTATTTATGCTCATTACAGAGAAAACCTTCTCTCAGAGGCTAATTTGTAAACCAGTTAAACTCTGTGACGTCATCGTGAGATGACGTCAGAGCGAGGTATTTTACATTGGTTCATTTTCATGTTTTTCATATGACACATGTACAAAATTATAGCTCAAATGAAAGCTCTTGCCGGTGCTCATACAGTTCTAGCATTCCTTTCACTGAATTATATTCACATAACAAACAGTTGCCGAATGAATCGCGGTGTTTCCATGGCGCAGATGTGAAAACAATACATTTATGATCAATAAGCAGCCCCAGATAGCACAGACAGCTGTCATCTCTTACCTTATGCTGTGCCCTTCAGGGCCATTCTTCTCTGTTTTTGAGGTGATGTGCGTAAGCAATCCTTTTATATGTCTGATGTGGTCCAAACACAGTGAATGATGTTTGATCAAATAAAAGAATAGTGAAATATGAAAACAATGATCGGTCCATGTGGCTTGTACAGCACCTCTCATCAGTTGGAATACAATAACTTTTGCATAGATTATGGTAGAGACATTTTTCTCTTTTCTTATGATTACAGACATGTGCAGAAACCACAAAAATTAATTACAGCACGCTAGACCCCACAGAACCTAAAAGGTACACTTTCAAATTTGAGTTTATAAAAAAAAAATTAAAAACGCCTCTTTTTGTAGGTGTTTATTATAACACAGACAACATATACAGATATTTTAAACACTTTTAATTGTGTTTTATGAAAACTCAAAGGGTTTTCTTTAAAATGATACCAAATTTTTGCATTTACACCTCTGCATGTGTATTTGGGAAGCTTTAAATTTGGGTAGGCAAAATCCAGGCGGAAATCCCAAAATAACAACAGAGTTTACCTGGATAAATTCATATGATCTCATACATACAATTTAGTACGATTTGCTTATCAACCAATGATGGTTAGGTTTAGGGGTTTGGTTGGGTGCCACGCCCCTTTTGTAAATGGTACATCTTCATACGGCTAAACTTGTATAAATTAGCCACTAAACTGACAAAACGTAAAATATTTATGTTTCCTCATGAGATCACCTTAGTGTGGTATGGAAGGGTATAGATGTGGTCTTTTTCTCTGAGAAGGCTGTCAAACTGACACTGATTCAGGCTTCTGGATCAAATAAAATTAATAGTTTGCTATTCCGCCATGCAGTGGACACAATTAGAATAGCAGTTTCCTAATTGAAAAATTGCAGGAATTGCTCAAGGGTCATACGTTTGACACCCCTACATTAGACCATTTGCATCTCGCTCAAAAATAAACAGTTTTGAAAATGTTCCTATTTAAGTAACCTATGAAAAATGAATAGTTGCTATTTTCTATGAATATATGGCTAGAAACTACACTCACCGGCCACTTTATTAGGTACACCTGTTCAACTGCTCGTTAACGCAAATTTCTAATCGTCTAATCATATGGCAGCACTCAATGCATTTAGGCATGTAGACATGGTCAAAACGATCTGCTGCAGTTCAAACCGAGCATTACAACGTGGAAGAAAGGTGGCAGTCTGAGTATTTCAGAAACTGCTGATCCACTGGGATTTTCACGCACAACCATCTCTAGCGTTTACAGATGATGGTCTAAAATAGAGAAAATATCCTGTGCGTGGCAGTTCTGTGTGCACAAATGCCTTGTTGATGCCAGAGGTCAGAGAAGGGCCAGACTGGTTCGAGCTAATAAAAATCTAACAGTTACTCAAATATCCACTCATTACAACCGAAGTATGCAGAAAAGCATCTCTGAACGCACAGTCTTGAGATGGATGGGCTACAGCAGCTACAAGAAGACCACACCGGGTGTCACTACTGTCAGCTAAAAAGAGAAAACTGAGGCTACAATTTGCACAGGCTCACAAAAATTGCACAATAGAAAATTAGAAAAACGTTGCCTGGTTTGATGAATCTCAAATTCTGCTGCGACATTCGGATGGTGGGGTCAGAATTTGGCATCAATAGCATGAAAGCATGGATCCATCCTGCCTTTTATCAATGGTTCAGGCAAAAAGCATTTTAAGCATTCTGAACAGTTGGTGAAATATGATATGGAGGATATCATGTAGAAATTGCTCAATCTGGAATAACAGATATCCTCAGCTGAGTTAAATTAAGCAGGGCATAATGGCATCTGAGCACAGTAAAGTTACATTATTCCAGTTTTCAGCAAGTAACCATAATGGTGCACCTGCATGTTCAGGCATAATAATGCAGCTGCTGGTGTAAACATGCTTGGCGTCACATCTTTGTCCTTTTTGTCTCATAGGGATGTCCTTCCATCATTTGTTCAATCAAAGTGGCACCAGCTTAAAGTCTGCTATGTGCCAGATTGGAAAAACAAGTCTTTTGCAGGTTGGTGTTTTCTTTTATAGATGGACCACTGCTTTCTTTTGTTTCCTGTAGTATACTCTATAGACCAGGGGTCACCAATCCTGGTTCTGGAGGGCCGGTGTCCCTGCAGGGTTTTGCTCCAACTTGCCTTAACACACCTGCCTGGATGTTTCAAGTATACCTAGTAAGACCTTGATTAGCTTGTTCAGGTGTGTTTGATTAGGGTTGGAGCTAAAATCTGCTGGACACCAGCACTCCAGCAACAAGTTTGGTGACCACTGCTATAGACCAATTACCATGTTTGTAAACATTCAATATGCGAACGAAGGAAGGTGGCAGAAAAAAAACGAGCGCTAGCATTTACAGCGAGAGAATGACATGCGATGAGGTACAGAGGTTTTTGTTGTCTTAGAAATAGAATATATTTATTACATATTATATATATATATATATATATATATATATATATATATATATATATATATATATATATATATATATATATATATATATATATATATATATATATTTTTTTTTTTTTTTTTTTTTTTTTTTTTACATAATGCTTTCAGCGTATTATAACAAGCTTGTCACCCAGTGATGAGCACAGTTATTCTGCAAAATTACCGTTAAAGTGAGCGCTGTTCGTCTGACAGGTCTATTTGCGATAGCACCCTCCTAATGAATAAGGGTGTCACGATCCTCCAAATCCTCGATTCGATTACATTTTCGATTCTAAAGGCACGATTCGATTCAATTTTTGATTATGAATAATTAATTAATGACCAATTATTTATTTGTAGCCTACCGTTTAAACTACCTGCATGGTCTTTGTTTTACCCATAAACAAATCATACAGTAAATGAATAAAGGCAAGATACACACATAATTACCACCTGTCAATCACTTTTTCTGCGGGACTCGTGAATAGGCAGTGATCTGTGTCAATATAATGGCGTCGGTAAAAAAGACGCACAGCCAACAGTATCTGAGGTGTTCGCTAAAATGACTAAGTACAAGTGAGTGAAAGATTGAAGCCGTCTACTGATCCTCTGACTGCCTGGACCTGCTCTCTCGAGCGCATGATTGTGTGTGCGTCTGTGTCTGTGTGGTCACGTGATGTGCATTTTCAGAGGTAGAGAGGAAGGAGGGCTGCTCAGAAATGCTACACGCCACTGTGGATGTAAAATCGTTGTCGTTCAAAAATGCCATTTAAAAACAAAAAGAAAAAACAAAAACAAAAACCTAGCTGCGCCGGCAGCTAGCTCTCTGCAACTCTCACATGGTCACCCACTGAAGCTAAGCAGGGCTGCGCCCGGTCAGTACCTGGATGGGAGACCACATGGGAAAACTAGGTTGCTGCCGGAAGTGGTGTTAGTGAGGCCAGCAGGGGGCGCCCAACCTGTGGTCTGTGTGGGTCCTAATGCCCCAGTATAGTGACGGGGATGCTATACTGCTCAGTGAGTGCCGTCTTTCGGATGAGACGTTAAACCGAGGTCCCGACTCTCTGTGGTCGTTAAAAATCCCAGGATGTCCTTCGAAAAGAGTAGGGGTTTAACCCCGGCATCCAGGCCAAATCTGCCCACTGGCCTTTGTCCATCATGGCCTCCTAACCATCCCCATATTCCAATTGGCTTCATCGCTGTCTCCTCTCCACCAATCAGCTGGTGTGTGGTGTGCGGTCTGGCGCAAAATGGCTGCCGTCGCGTCATCCTGGTGGATGCTGCACACTGGTGGTGGATAAGGAGATTCCCCCCATTGTGTGTAAAGCACTTTGAGTGCCCAGAAAAGCGCTATATAAATGTAAGGAATTATTATTATTATTATTATTAAAAACAGTGTAAACAGGGCCTGAGTGTGTACTTTTCAACGGGGGCGGGCAGGGGATCGCTATGCCGGTGTTGTCTATCGGACTAACCGTACGTAATACGTACATAGCAGAGCTTGCAAAACTGTGTTTTTTTTTGTCGACAACGCGAACGTTGTCAACATAACTCACTGGAAATCCAAAATGCTTACACACCGGCGACTTCATTGAAAGAGGAGAGGGTTTAAGTTCTGTCGACGGGTCTCCTGCTTCTGCAGTTTAACAAGCACTTCAACAAGCCTGTTATTTTCCCGCTTGGCAAGCCAAGCTGACGTGACATGGGGGCGTGGCAGCATCGACGATTCTATTTTTTGATTCGATAAACGAAATTGAGCATAAATTTCGATCGATTGACCTTGTTGCCTGGTAATCATCAACAAGCAAAACTACTGCATTCTGACAGCGAACTACACCTGTACGGCAGGTTATGTGAACTTACACATAAAGGTAAAGTTGGTTTTATATTCGCACATTTGGATTCTCTCCTTAATAAAATAATTTCATAAAAGTGTTATTTGCAAACTCTAACACCTTTACATTTCTTAGCATTCAGTGTCCGCAGTTAAATTAACCATATGTAACAGTTTTTGCTAAAATAATTTCTGCAATCTAAAACGAGTAACGTGTATGATTCAGCATTGTGTGAACTGATATAACATGAGAACTGAGAGTCCAGCATTTCTAATTAGGTCGTCACTTCATTCAGCTCCCTTTTAGCCAAAGACGTCTGCAGTTGGCTGTAAAGCAGTGTGGTGTATGGTAAAAGTCACGTTTTTGAATTTGGCATCCTACCGCACAACACCACATTTTTACTTTTGCAGCCTGTCTTTTTTTTTTTTTTGCAACCGGGGACCCGTGTGACGTCATGTGTGACGTAGGTTGGTAATTGGTCTATAGATGGACATTCAAGTAGCAAAAAGTCTAATCAAATAGTTGGTTTAGAGACTCAACATAGTTTTGTAAACAAGTGCAAATCTCAGGAGACTTGCCAACATGTCTGGTGTACAATCATTTAAAAAATCTACTCTAGTTTAAATTGCCTGCTTATATTCTACGTCTGTGATGTTTTCTTTCAGACATTGTTGACTTTCTCTATGAGAATGTTTTGCCAGGCCTGGTGAAAGACTGCGAAGACCTTGATGATGATGAACTAAAGGTTGACCAGATGAACAGTTTCCGGCTAGCAGATATTTTTCAGGACATTAACGAGGATGAATGCTGTGACAGTGATGAAGAAACTGGCCAGCAGGAGAAAAGCAGCTCTGCTTAATCAGTTGCAGTCAGTGGAAATATTTGAATGTTTTAAAGAAGAGACGTGTTCAGGTTGTACATAGTTGCCTTTTTATCCTTGTGTTTTTTAATGAATCGGGCAGGAAGTAAACTGCAGTTTTATTGCATTTTAAATGTATTCTGGATATGAAATATGATTCATTTTGTTTGTTAAACAATTGTTTTTACATTCTTAACTACATGGAAACTCACAAGGAATGATCCTTTCCTGTAAGAGCATGCAAACTAAAGAGTCTTGGAGGATGGCTGTCCAATTTGTTCTTGAGCCTTTCAGAGATGTGATCTTCTAAGAACACGTTTTAACACAGGGCTATGTTGTTTTATATTTGTTTTTTTCTTTATTAAAAAAAATTTTCATTTGAAAACTGCAAGAAGTGTTTACTTGAGTTATCAATAATTAATATTTAACCCTCTACCGCATGGTGTTGCCATATGGCAGCATGGCACTTATGTTCATTTCCCTGCCACTGTTTCTTTAAGACCAACATTTCAATATCTTTTGTTGAAAAGAGAAGACCTTAGCGTAGCCAATGATGTGCTTTGGTTAGGTCACATGACATGCAGTGTTTTTCTGTGACATGATTTCTGACAGACTGGCGTTTATTGTGAGTAACTGCTGGAAGCTAATGTAAATGTCAAGGATCAAATTATGTCAGATCCACAAATAAATCTGAAACATCACCTTCAGTAAGTTATGATGACATATTCACAACTCAACATTTTTTGTTTAAATTAGTTTTTTGTAAATCGGTCATATGTATGTGCTGCCAAATGGCAACACTGTGCAATAGTGGAACATGCAATATTGCAATGGGTTAGCTAGCTAGCAAGGTCAGCTGTGAACATTTAAGTTGTAACAATAACAACATGAAAGCTAGTAACATAATGCTGATTAGTTGTGTATTAGCGAGCACCACCATTTTCTATGGTAAGTGAAACAAGAATAGGACAGAACTGGCTCTTAAGTTCCTGCAGATGAAAGTGAGGATGAGATGGGTTTTAGTGACCATGAGAATGATGTAGACTGGCAAAAGCCAGTTGGACTGTTGGACATTGTTGCCATATGACAACATTTCATAAAGTACCTTAATTAAAATGAATTTTTTCCAATTTTTTTTTACAACACTTTAAGACATTTTAAGAAAAGAAAAACATTCAGTCAATATATTTTTTTATAGATATATCATAATTTCGGTAAAGGGTTACATTTGTTTGATGTTCTGAAACATTAAAGTGTCACAAACATGAAAAAATAAATAAATCAGTAAGGGGCAAACACTTTTTCACACCACTTGTGATGATGAGGAATATAATAATACTTAGACATTAAGATTAAACTAAACATGCAATGCATGATTATATATTACAATTGCATAAAACAAAGTAGATTCACAAAAACATTTGACTTTAAATAAGTTTGTAGAATAACTAGCTGAAAATGCAGTGTAGTGTGACTTGATGGAATCAAATAAATGAAAATTAATCATCAAATAATATTTAAGACCCAATTATAGTGTTGATTTCTCCGCAGTATACATTAAATTATTATACAAGAAACTGCATACACTGTAAAAAATGTTCAGTTCCACACAATCGCTTTGTGTTGGGGCAACATGAAGGAATTAAGTGAGCATACAACAAATCAGTTGTCTTCCCAAAAGGGCAGCACAGTGGCTCAGTGGGTAGCATGTTTGCCTCACAGCAAGAAGGTTGCTGGTTCAAGCCTCTGCTGGGTGGAGTTTGCATGTTCTCTGGTTTCCCCCACAACACGAGTCGAAAACATGCGGTGTAGGTGAATTGGGTTGGCTAAATTGTCCGTAGTGTGTGTGTGTGTGAATGAGTGTGTATGGATATTTCCCAGTGATGCTGCTGGAAGGGCATCCGCAGTGGAAATCATATGCTGGATAAGTTGGTGGTTCATTTTACTGTGGCAACCCCTGATTAATAAAGTGACTAAATCGAAAAGAAAATGAATGTATAAATAAAACTGTTAAAAACACTAAGTGTTTTTCTTAGTCCTCTGACAGATTTTTTTTTCATTTTAAGCTCACTGAAATATTTATTTATTCAGAAAACAAAACTTAAAATGGTAAAATCTTAAAATATTTACATTCTATTTGACATTTATTTTCACGTTTTACGTTTAGATATTTGTAAAGCAATATACAATGTTCTTCAATCATATCTTTGTAATGACTCCCCTGGCTGAAGGGTGGCAGTATAGTTGATGTGTCTCTGAGAATATCGCAGATTGTTTACTCAATTAAATGAAAAGGTAAAGTGCGCTTAGTTAACATCCCGCTAAAAAAAACAGGTAACGAATTTTTCTCTGTATGTGTCTGTAATGTTGTCTATTGTTTATGTGGTAATGTGTTTGTTGTCTTAATCAGTAAATGCGCGGTGCACGTGCAAGACTGAAGAGCGTCGTCAGGAGCTGGATTTTGTATGTGTATCGTCATGAAAAAGAGAAGTAAAACTACAGAGCAGCATGAGCTCACTGAAAGTTCACAGGAACAGACTGAGAAAAGCTGTAAAAAGAAGGAGAAGAGGAGAAACAGTAAAACTGAATCTGATGATAATCTGCAAACAGACACAGGCAAAAGGAAAAGGAGAACGCTGGATAATGAAGGCGAGACTTCAGTGATGGATGATGGAGTCTCAAATCAGCATGAAGCACAAACACAAGAGCTTCAGGGTTCAAGGGAAGAGAAGTATTCTGTGAGATTGAGAACGAGAAAAACTGCGACACAAACAAGCTATGAAGACGTGGCAAAAGATGAACAGACTAAAATCAAGACAGAGCATAAGGAAGGGTCAAACACCAGTGATAAGGAAAGCGACCCGCCTGATGTGATGAATGGTACTAGAAAACACGCGTCAAAGGATGAAACTGTGGTTGATTCAAAGTCCCTGGACGAACTGAAGGAATTTTGCCCTAAAATTACGTTAAAATCACATAATGTACAGGATATTAATAAAATGATCAGGTATGACCTGCCAAGATTCAAGGAATTCAGAAAACAAGGTAAGCAGATTTCATATATATATATATATATATATATATATATATATATATATATATATATATATATATATATATATATATATATATATATATGAGCAATTCCATACAAATGTCAACCTTGCCATGAAAATAATTGAGTTTTCACCAAAATACGGAAACGTTTTTTGCAAGCAAGTACTTTACACTACTGTAAAAATACTCAAAAATGTATCTGTCAGTGTTTTCAAACTATTATGTTTGATTTATCAAAGTCACACTAGTGGCAATTTCACATTGGTCACATCCATAACAACACTTTTTCCTCAAAATTGCAAAACTGTAAAATCAATAATTTATATTCTATAGAGAGCCGACTCTTATCCTTTTGATTAGCATTTATTCTTTTGGTTTGTGCAGTTTAATTCACAGAATTTCTGCAAACTCGCAGACTTTTTTGGTCACATCCATAACGCATGTTTATTTTTCTTATTTAAAGTACAAAAAATGTTTACTGATTGATATTTTCTGATCCCATAACTCTGTGGTCAGTTGTTTTGGAAATTTTAACAGATGTATCAATGTAAATATATATAAAAATATAATATATATATATATATATATATATATATACGGGCAACCACAGGCACTTTTATGTCCTATATATATTTATCAAAAAATATATTTCATTTTGTTCCAATTTCTCTTTCTTTGTCAAACTAACAATAAAACTTACTAAAAAAATTTACTAGCTTTTTCATATTATTCAACCTCCTTTTAGGTGTCAAAATCACTGTTGCACACCCAGAGTTTTAAACTCCAACATTTGAAAGTAACATTTTAAAATATTATTTATCTGGTATCTATTCATGTATCTTAATGAAGCACTGGTGAAATATTTCATAGTTATTAATGAGAGACTATTATTAATACTATTTTTTATACAAAATATAGCTGTGGCACAGTATCAGTGTCATTTCCACCACAACACTGTAATGTCGCTTTAAAAATGTTGTGTAAAAGATTATTTAGGTGGTATCTATTAAAATGAATAGTGCCATCTGAGAATATGTTTAAGATGAAGGGAATTTAATTGTTCATCAACAACACTTGAAGAAAAATCAAGGTAAATATTGCTTGATAAGGAAATACATTTATTCTATGTCATTTCCGAATATGCTATTCCTTCAAAGATGTTTTTAAAAACCAAGCAACATTAAGGTAAATAAGTATATTTTGTATACATGAAAGGCTAGCATCAATTCAAAGCTAATCGGTGAAGCTATCTTTCATTTTTTCAGAATAAACTGGTAAAATGTAATTTCCACCACTGTCATTTCCATCACCACACACTTTTAAAACAATATTTAAAAAGTTGTCATCACACATTAAAAGTGTATTCACAATGTATAAGTTCATGCTCTATCTAATATACAAATTCAGTTGATTTATTTTTTAGAAGCTCTTAACCAAATTAAGTTTTAAAATTTTAGAGTGTGACAGGTGTACAATTCAGCATACCAGTAATGTATTTCATTGACAAATGTATATTTATTATATAGTGGAAAGAACTAGATACAAAAAGGATCCTAGACATTGTTTGACTGCCATAATTTAATTCATTTTGAAATAAAAGCTGTATATTGAGATGTGGTGGAAATGACATTTGTTCAGGTCACAATGGAAAATGTTTCTCTTCTTATCCAAGTTTGTCCTTTTACAGATCTTAAAATTAGACAAATTGTTTAAACTTATGAGGCTGTTACATTAATTTTGAACAAGTTTTTTTTACTCAACTTCACGAGGCTAAAAGTTCCCGTAGTTGAAGAAAGGCCCATCTATCTGTCTGTCTGTCTGTCTGTCTGTCAGTCAGTCAGTCTGTCAGTCATTCTGTCTGTCTGTCTGTCTGTCTTACTACACTGTCTTTTTTGATATTTAAAAACTGATAATTATTAAAAAAATAAATACATGTGAGATTAAGCAGGAACAGGGACATGTTTTGGTTTTCATGTCAATGCAGGGTGTCTGCGGCAGGGCTGTGCGCAAGGGCGTAGATTCACTCTTGACATTGGTGGGGATGTCCCTAGAGCTGCAATGAACAGCACAAATTCTGTTTCACACTTTTAAAAACATGATTAAAGTACTTAATAATAATAAAGTAATAGTAATATAAAACAAACACTTAATAATACAAATAACAATCCTGTCCCATGCTGCAAAAGTCAATTTACATGATTTTACTGCAGTGTGGCTTTGAGGAGTAATGAGTGTAGAGAAATTTAGAGAGGTGTTTGACGCAATTTAACTGCTTTCTCAATTATTGTTTTGTTATAATCATAGAGGCCAAAATCAAAACTGAATTTTAATTAATTGCACAGTCTTAGTTAATAGTATCACGGTGAACTTGACTTGGTGCACGTGTAGGTTAAGAGTTGAAGGAGCATCACTTTATTTTAAAGTTGTTTAAGTTATTGGTAGGGACATTTCAGCAATTGGTGGATATTGGTGAGGACACGTCCCCTCCGTCCATGCCAATTCTACGCCATTGCCTGCGCAATTTGGGTAAAATATCTAATTGTGATTTAATTTTTTTTTGACAGATATTGCGATTTCGATTTGATTTGCGGTTTAGTTTTGTTTTCAAGCTTCAGCTCGATAGTCTGCATCGTAGCTTCTTATTGCTAAAATGCAGTGATTGTTAGTTAAAAAAAGGAACTAAAAAGACATTAACTTAACACATATTTAAATTTATTTTTTTAAATATTCACAAATGAAACACTAATTTTTCTCTAGAGCAAACAGTTAACACAAGTAAATTGACCTTACCTTTCTGAAAACAAGTTGAACTCAAATTAGGAAGATATTGCTTATAATGCATATTAGATAGCTTATTATCAAAACAAAACAATTATTATAAAAATACAGAACGCCCAGTAAACTTACATGGCTGAAACAACTCAAGTTATACTTTTACTTTAAATTAAAAGTGTATTAAAAGCATTAACCCCAACCCTCCCCAAAATTCTCCCTCTCTTCTCAGATGGCCCTAGTTTGGACATCTCTGCTGTATACTTGGGTTTGTTTACAAAAAAACATTTTATTGTGGACCAACGCTTGTTAAAACATACGGTGCGCAGCATAAATGAGTACACCCCATTTTAAAAATTAATATTTTATCCATTAGTCAGTGACTGTTTATCTAATATATATGCACAAATATATTATTGTAAAGCATCCTAAAGATTTGACAGATTTTAAGGGTTGTCTGTGTTATATATGCTGGGCACTGTATAAAGCGTTATTTAAACATATAACGACATTAAGCTAAACTCACCAGCTACAACAATTATATTGTTTTTATTGCTTGACTGTTCACCAAATATATTTAGCATTTCTTTTATGTTTATATTCAACTATTCAGCTGAGAGAAACACTGCAGTGTCGATAAACTAAAAGTGAGGGCTCCATTTAATTTAGGCATCAAAGTGAAGTCAGATGTTGGTATCTTTACAACATTTATAAAGCAGCATATTTATAAATATAAATGTAGTATAAAGCACATCATTATACATAAACATTCACATAAAAGTACTGCTTTATTATACTTAAAAAAAGTGTTCATAAAAAGTTATGCTTTGCCTTTTACTCTTATGTCACAGGGATCGCACTGAGACATGGAAGATTTTCTAAAGCAGAAAATGAGAGGTTAAGACAGAACGTAAGCGACTTTCTGGCCCTCACACAAGTGAAAGATGCGGTCATGCTCTTTCATCCCAAACGGTTCCCAAACAATACCAAGAAACTGGCAAAGTTAAAAAGGAAGTACAGGTTTTTTGAAAGGATTGGTGAGTGTTTAACTTCTTATGTGTGTAAGGTTATCATCCTTCTGTGTAGTTTAAACACATTATGTTAGGTGGGTAGTAGAATTTCCCAGAAAATTTTTCTGATTTCAAGTGACCAATTTTATGTCTGATTTTGAAGACTGTGTTTATGGCACCTTTTCTGAAAATTTGCAGCAATGTGTCGATAAAGACATTTAGAGCCATACAAATATGTACATTCTAGTCTGTACTAGTCTAGTACATTATTATGGAAGTAGGCTACTGGCCACTTTATTAGGTACCAGGTGCTCGTTTACACAAATTTCTAATCAGCCAATCACATGGCAGCAATTCAATGCATTAGGGCATGCAGGCATGGTCAACCCGATCTGCTGCAGATCAAACCGAGCATCAGAATGGGGAAGAAAGGTGATTTAAGTGACTTTGAATGTGGCATGGTTGTTGGTGTCAGACGAGCTGGTCTGAGTATTTCAGAAACTGCTGATCTACAGGGATTTCCACGCACAACCATCTCTAGGGTTACAGAGAATGGTCTGAAAAAGAGAAAATATCCAGTGAGAGGCAGTTCTGTGGGTGCAAATGCCTTTTTGATGGCAGAGGTCAGAGGAGAACGGCCAGACTAGTTTCAGCTGACAGAAAGGCAAGTTACTCAAATAATCACTCGTTACCACTGAGGTATGCAGAAGAGCATCTCTGAATGCACAACGCATCCAACCTTGAGGCAGATGGGCTACAGCAGCAGAAGACCACAGCGGGTGCCACTCCTGTCAGCTAAGAACAGGAAACTGAGGCTACAGTTGGCACAAGCTCACCAAAATTGGACAATAGAAGATTGGAAAAACGTTTCTGCTGCGATATTCGGATAGTAGAATTTGGTGTCAACAACATGAAAGCATGAATCCATCCTGTCTTGAATAAACGGTTCAGGCTGCTGGTGGTGTAATGGTGTGGGGGAGATTTTCTTGGCACATTTTGTCCTCATTAGTACCAATTGAGCATCATTTCAATGACAGACTACCTGAGTAATGTTGCTGACCATGTCCATCCCTTTATGACCATAGTGTACCCATCTTCAGCAGGATAACACACTCATGTCATAAAGCGTGAATCATCTCAGACTGGTTTCTTGAACATGATGATGAATTCACTGTAGTCAAATGGCCTTCACAGTCACCAGATCTCAATCCAATAGAGCCCCTTTAAGAAGTGGTGAAATGGGAAATTCGCGTCATGGATGTGCAGCAAATCTGCAGCAACTGTGTGATGCTGTAATGTCAATATGGAGCAAAATCTCTGAGGAATATTTCCAGTACCTTGTGAATCTGTGCCACTAAGGATTAAGGCAGCTCTGAAGGCAAAAGAGGGTCCAACACAGTACTAGTAAGGTGTACCTAATAAAGTTGCCGGTGGGTGTAAAATTTCTTTGCTATTTGTTCACAATATTGGTATACAAGTCGAGCTGCATTTCAACCTGTATTCTCACTGTAAATCAGATGGGTCGTTACCAGTCTTATAATTTAAGTAGCTTCATAATAAACATTCAGAGCACATCTTTTGTCATATTTAGTCCATTTTAAAATTAAACCGTGTCTGGTTTGTATCATGGTTAAGGGTCACTGTCTCAGTATGGAAAAAGAACAGCCAAAAATAAATAAATCTACAAGGAAAAACTAAATGAATGAATATAGCGAAGATACTACTGAATTAAACACTGCTGTAAAAGTACATAAGTGATTTAGTGTATCATCAGACCCTAACAGCTCCTGAGTTGTGTTGTGAATAAAACATATGCAAAAGTTTAATTATATGCAACAATTGTTACAGACAAAGATGTATTAAGAGTGGTTAATGGTTGGTTTAATGTATATAAAAACATGGGCAGGAGATAATATCAATACATGAGTTTTGTTTAGAAGTTTATTATGAGCTGAGTGATATGACTTGATGCATAAACACTCAACACTTAGCACTTTACATGTGTCTGTTGCCTCATTTCAGAAGTACATGGCAAATTTTGCTATATATATTTCACAATTTAAAATTTCACAATATGTACACAATTAATTGGTAGCAAATTTGTATTTTTGAGTGAATTGTCTGTTCAGGAGGTCTGTTCCCTTGCGTTAAATGGATTCATAGAGAAAGATTTTTTATTAAAGGGCACCTAGGTTACCCCTTTTTTCAGATTTAATACAAGTCTTTTGCGTCTCTAGAATGTGTATATAAAGTTTCAGATCAAAATACCCATCAGATTTTTCATTATACCTTTTACAAGATGCTGTTTTATACTGATTTCCAGCAGGGGGTGGTTTTGTCGTACTGCGCCTTTAAGCCGAGTCTTTCCCGCCCACTATTTCTACATGCCTCCTCCCTCAGCTGCGTCAGACAACAGACAGACTTAAAGGAAGAAGGTCTCACGTAGCGTTTGTGAGATACTGCAGTAAGAACTAACCTTTACTAATCAGTATTGTGAAGTTGCATTGATGAGTCACACACAATATCATTACAAAGTTAACGCGCGCGCCCGTGCACACACACACACACGCACGCACGCACGCACGCACGCAGGCAGGCAGGCAGACAGAGCGCGCTTAGCTTAGTTAAGGCTAACCTCAAGTACTGTGTGGATATCTGTTATGCTAATGTACAAAATAAACCTGATTTAACTTCCACAAACCGGGATTGAAGCGTCTTCTTTTATAATTGTTCTGACACGCGGCTGTGCTGCTGAAGTAAAACGCTGTAATTAATTACACACATACTCTGTTTTAAAACACTTTAAACATGTGAAACTTACTCTTAATCACATTTGATGATGATTGCTGATCCTAGCGAACAGAACAGACCTTTTATTCCCGGTTGCTTTGCGTATGACTGCCTGGACTTGTTGACATATACAGGTGACTACCGGAACATGTTAATGCGTGCAGCTGTCAATCAATTCGGTGGGCGGGGGGATCGCACACCTACGTAATGGTGCGATCGATTTGAAAACAGCTCCAATTGGCTGACCCCTTTTTTTTGTAGTTAAATTGAAAAACAAGGACTGTGTGTGTTCATATCACCCCAGTATGACGGTCTATACACTATACCAACACACAGATCTGTCCAAACAGCTTGAAAAGTAGATTTTTACCATAGGTGCCCTTTAATATAGCTTATGTTTGTCTTATGAAATGAATCCATTTACATTTAGTAGAGCTTTAAAGTGAGTAGTGATGAATTCTTTAATAAAGACATGAGTGCATATTGAACATTATAAGAAACTATGCTGAGAATTTGACATTTTGTTGCTCAATAAAGCTGTTCTTCTTTTTTCTAAATCAAAATTGATCAGCGGAAGGAATTCCCAGGCCTTGTCATGATGTTTACACCCGTGGAACAAAGATTTATGATGATAAAAACAATAAGGGAAAGTAAGTAGAATATTATTTACATGGATCATATCATAGTTCTACTCTGCTTGAAATTTTGTTCTGTGCTTAACCTCAGTGATTTCTTGCTTTTCTCAAAAGTTTTACTGAAAAAGAAGACAAATCGCTGCTGAAGTATCATGCACGATATGGCAAGGACTGGCAAAAGATTTCTAAAAAGACAGATCGAAGTTCTTACTCTCTTGAGAAGCGGTTTTCACACCTTAGTAAGTCTAATTCATTGAGCCTCTCATATTCTTCAGGGTTCAACACTAAGGATTTTTTCTACTGGTCCAATCGGGCCAATGGTTCAGATTTTCACTGGCCCCATTAAAAAAATAAAAATAAAAAAGACAAGTTAATGCTTATTTTTTAGCCACATATTTTAAATAATGTGTCAAAAATAACTTCTGTGAATCTAGAATTTCAATATTTGAAAAATGTTAATAAATGTATGAGCACAATTCAGAGCTATGCAAACGAAAATTGCATTATGGGAAATGTGGAGGTATTTTATTGCAGTTTGAAATTATTTAACAAAAGGTGGCTGACTGGCAAATTGTGCAAAAAAATAAATTAATTAAATAAAAAATAAAAATAATCACCATTTTTTTCGTTGTGTTTTCATGTAAATGTCTGCTTCCAAGACGTTATAAACATTTTTAATTTAGCCTTTTAATTTGATATTGCAGCCATGTTGCCGTTTCTTTGCTGTACTGGTTGTTACCAGGATACGGAAAAAAATAGCGTGCTTCAAAACAGATAGGAGGATCCGAAAAGCAATCGACATCAGAGAAGATAGCATTTTAAGACCAAAAAGCTCAAGCTTAAAATGTACACAATTGACTAATAGTCGCAGGCAAGTTAAACTTTAGTGACAAGGCAGCACTTTCCCAATCGGGCCAGTATTAATCCTGTCTACTGTCCAAAGCATCTTTCACACTGGCCCCGGGCCATAGGGCAGTCCTTATTGTTGAGCCCTGTTCTTCAACTATGCTGTCGATTGCAGGTTATTGACGTTTATAGTTGTTTTAATATCATCATTATTCATCACACAGGTAAAAGAAGGGGACCGTGGACAACAAAGGAGGTGCAGAGGCTTTTAAGGGCTGTGCGTGACCATGTTGTATCTGTGCTGAAATCTGCCAACCCTAATAAAAAGAGACCGAAAAGAGTCAGTAGAGAAATACTGTACCAAAAATTGCCCTGGACCAAAATTGCTGAGCAGGTGAAAACTCGATGCTGGAACAGATGCAGAGATAAATGGTGAGAGAGCACTTCTGGCCTATTTCCACTGAGTAGTACCATATGGTACGGTTCAGTTTGGTATGCTTTTATGGCCGTTTCCACTGTCAAAGGCGTACCGAACCGTACCATACCACTTATTCGGCACCTTTTCGAAAGGGTAACAAACATGAGAAAGGGTATCAAAAGGCGGAGCTAGACGTGCAGCTGAACGCTATTGGTTTACAGAGATACGCCATTCGCTTATGCAACTAGCTAGAATGAAAGCAAAAAACCCGCCATGTTTAAAATACACATACAGCCGAGAGATTACAGCAGAATTATATATACATATAATAACGAGCCATGGTCGATCGTCGTTGTCTTGATGAACAGCCACAAAGCCATGGAGTATAGCAGAATCTACCCTGTGCCTCAGAGTTTTTTATGAGCCAGTCTGAAGCGCAAGGGGTTTAACTTTCTTGCTTGCGCTCGCCGCGCGTCTATATCTGAAATAAACTTCTTGAGCTGATGATAATAACGTGCGCTTGGTTATTGACGTGCTTTTAAAACCCGATCCTGTCAGACACTGAAAAACGCGAGAGTGAAGTGTGAAATAAAGGAGAAGCCGGAAAAAAGAGCACATTATTTCTTCAGCAAACTTGAACAAACTGCCTTGTTTTAATTTTTATCATCACCTTTTGGACTAATATGAACTGAGAATGATGGAATGACTCTCTAACAGAGGCTACATGTGCTGCTATAGATTACAGACACAGATGAGAGGTTTTCACTGACTGTAGGCTATATTTTGTGTTGTTTTAAACCTAAATAAGGATGACATGTCTGCTGTGTGTAGTTTTTCTGTACTTGGTAACATATCAGAGACTGTTAAGGGGCTGTATGTGTTCATATAGGTTCATTTAGTGAAGTTTATGTATAAACAAATTTCGAGAGGATCACGTGCTTATGATTGCTAGCAGCTGACCCGCATTATCCAATTCACTACGATCCAATCAGATGACTCCTAAACTACTATAAATACCCTGGGGTTTATTCCATTGCTATCTTCGTTTTAAAGAGTCCCCCCTTCCTCCCCTACGCCTCCTTCTTAGACGGGTGACACGGTGGCCCAGTGCCTAGCACTGTCGCCTCACAGCAAGAATGTCTCTGGTTCCTGGCTTTACCAAAACTAGCAGACATTTCTGTGCGGAGTTTTGCACTTCTCCCCGTGCTCACGTGGGTTTCCCCCGGGTTCCCCGGTTTCCTCCCACCGCCTAAAAACATGCAATTAAGTCAATTAAACAATCCAAATTGTCAACATAGACACGCTCCTAGTTAGTAATTACTTTCAAGAGCATTCACTTGCTACAGCAGGGGAGTTCTCGAGATCTACCTGAGCTCAAACTCCCCTCCCGCTTTGCAACGGGAGGGAGCCCTGGGCTCGAGGATCTCATGAGCTCAGGGCTCTCTCCCGGGACAGCATGCCAAACAAGCTTTATAATTAATCATCAGCTAAGTGTGAACTCTTGAATTTATTTAATATAATCACAGACGTTACCGTAGGCCATTTTGCGATGTCATTAATCTGCAGTTATAATCAAATCCTGTTCATAGAAAAGTTAGTAATAAACATTTATAAACAAGTATTTCTGTGTGTAAAGCATCTGTTTTGTGAGAAGTGCTGCTCATATAATATGTGAGCGACCCGTACAGCTTTATTGTAGACATTTCCTCTAGCGAGAATAATGCAACTGAAACTTTGTCGTACACCACGCCCAACAAAAGGGTACCCTTGGTAGTGAAAACGCAAGCCTGATAAAGGTGACCCGTACCAACCCGAACTGTATCGTACGGTACCACTCAGTGGAAACGAGCCATTACAGTATATTCTGTTATTTTCATGCATTTGTTTTTCAACATTGTCCTAATTTTTCTGATTTACCCCAAAGGATGTCTATACTTACTGCACGGATGTCCCCAGGGATTACATTTAAAGGAAAGATAGCTCAGGAGGCCAAAATCAGACTTATTAGGGCGTAGGAGATCTTGATTTACATGTTTGTATTGCTCTCATATTGCCTTAACGTTTTTCCTGAATTGTACTTTTTCAAAAATCTGTTGACACAGAATGTATGAAATGCAAGTGGAGGATGCTGTGGATGTCGACTGGGAGGATCTCACAGCTGTTTTTGGGTGAGAATTATTTTCTGAATATATCTGGGAGAGTAAATCCATTACTTCCCGGTAGAATCTTGCTAGTTCTCAATAATATTCAAGTTTAAAGAAATATGTTTTCTGTGTCAGAATGTCTGTCTTTGTTTTGGTTTCTATAACCTGCCCACTGCCCGTTTACCCAATTATAATTCAAGAGTTCCCACTTAGATATGGTTGGCATTTATAGCAGGTTTAGCTTGCTGTCCCGGGAGAGAACCCTGAGCTCGGAGATATATGAGCCCAGGGCTCCCGCCTGGTTTAGAAGCATATCAGGGGATCCGAGATCAGGTAGGTCTCGATCGCTCCCCCTTTAGAAGAGGAGAAAAAGGAGGAGATGGGGTGGAAGGGGGGATTCTTCCAGAAAGAAGATAGAGCAATAAGGAGAAAGTGATCCATTTATATTAAGCTAGGATCATTCTGATTGGATTATTTCTGATTACGGATGAGTGGCCAGCAGTGCACAATCATATCACGTGCTCCTCTCGAAATTATTTTATGAAACTTCACTTCAGCACCCAAGGATGCCTTTGTGGAAAACAGTGTACTTAAAGGGAATGGGAAAACTGCATAAATATAAATGACATTAAATAAACCTGAAAATAAATGAAAGACACTTAGCAAATTATAATTTTGAGACCAGACATGATCAAACTTTCTATACTAAATGTCGAATTGGACATTCTAGGTTAACTTATTTGTATTTACTCAATACCGAAGACCCACCTAAATGTAATTCTTGCCAGCCTGCTCTTACTATAAAACATATTTTGTTGGAATTCCTCTTGTTCAGGCATAATAATGCAGCTGGTGATTTAATCATATTTGGCGTCTCATCTTTGTCCTCTTTGTCTCATAGGGATGTCCCTCCAGCATATGCTCAGTTAAGATGGCGCCATCTTAAAGCCCGCTATGTTCCAGGTTGGAAAAACAAGTGTTTTAGAGGTTGGTGTTTTCTCTTACAGACCAATTTGAGGGATGTAAACAAAAACAATTGTCCCAACCAATTTCCTGTTATACATTTTTAATTTTTATAGCTTTCAAGAATCCAAAAAAGAGCCACATATTAATACATAACATTATGATAGCTGTTTTAACATTAAGTTAAGATTGAATTGCCTCTTGTTACAGTTATGAAATAGTTTAAGAACAAGCAGGAAATGTTCATGGGCCAATGACAAGACCACATTGAAATGGTCTACACTGCTTTCTTTTGTTTTCCATAGTACACTTCAGAGATGGAAACTCAAGTTGCCAAAAAAAAAAACAGTCTTGTTAAAACTATTTTTGGAGTACGATTAAAACAGTTGTTTGATTAAAAAAGTAGTAGCGCCTGTAGTGGCAGGAGTTTGAATTGCCTTTTAATGCATGTCTGTTGGGTTGTCTTTCAGAGATTGTTACCTTTCTGTATGAGAAGACTCTTCCAGGCCTGCAGTCAAAATGTGAATACCGTTATGGCAGTGATCTCAAGCTAGAGCAGAAGCAGCGGTTCCGGCTTTCAAGAATTTTTCAGGACATTAATGATGAAGATTGCTGTGACAGTGATGAAGAGACTGGCCAGCAGGAGAGCAACAGCTCAACTTAATCAACTGTGAGCCAACAGTGTAAATATTACAGGCCTTAAAATCTAATTTCAAGTTGTACATGTCAGTTAATTTAGCAGTAAATAAACAGATATTTTAAAAGGTTTTCTGGACATTTGACAGTGGAGTTGGACAAAAATAGCATTTATTCATTCATTTTCTTGTCGGCTTAGTCCCTTTATTAATCCGGGGTCGCCACAGCGGAATGAACCGCCAACTTATACAGCATATATTTTACGCAGCAGTACCCTTCCAACTGCAACCCATCACTGGGAAACTACCATACATACACATACAATTACTGACAGTTTAGCCTACCCAATTCAACTGTACTGCATGTCTTTGGATTTGTGAGGGAAAAACCGGAGCAGCCAGAGGAAACCCACAGGGAGAACATGCAAACTCCACACAGAAATACCAACTGACCCAGCCGAGACTCAAACCAGTGACCTTGCTGTGAGGTGACCATTACCTACTGTGCCACCGCGTCACCTAAAAATAACATACTGTACTAAATCGTATAACGCTTAATTAAAACAGGCCATTAGAATGTGCAGGTCAGATTATTTTCTTTCTACAATTATGAATCAATAAATCCATACAAATGTTATCTAGAGATAAGGCAAGCCTCTTTTTAAACCCTTTTAATATATAAGTTACTTCTACCTGAAACAAACCAGTTGCTTACTATGAGGAAGCTTGAGGAAAATACATTATTGGCAGTAATATCAGATGCACTGAACTGCAATTCATATATTTATTGTACTCAAGTAAAAGTATAGTCAGTTTGAATTTTAAATTATTCGTTTTCCTTCGCCTTAGTCCCTTTATTCATCAGGGGTCGCCACTGTGGAATGAACCGCCAACTTATCCAACATATGTATTCTCGATAGGATACAGCTGCGCATACGCACATCAATATAGCATAATTTTTGTAACACTGTATAACAATAATTAATATTTTTACAGTACTGTGACGGTTGGGGTAGATGTTAATAAAATACAATATTTTAGGAATAATTTAAATACTTTCAGCCTCAAACATATCTGATCTAGCAACAACCCTTGACGACGGCAGTGTGTTTGAGCACATAGAAACAGTTTCTTCCCTTAGGCAATCCATCTCATGAACACTTGATAATAATAATTGTAGAACCAACAACACTACTTGCTATACACTTATTATAATCAAATACACTTATTTAACAACACACTTTAAATGCTAATTTACACTCAACAGCTGTGCATATGACGAATATAGTAATGTACCTGTACACACACTTGTCAATTTGTATATTTGCATTCGCTACTTCTATTTTTAAAATATATTTATGATCATTTTTTTTTGTTTGGTATGTAATTCTGTTGCGCTGTAGAAGCTGTCATGAAAAGAAATTCCTCGTATGTGTGAACTTGCAATAAAGCTCTTTCTGATTCTAAGCAATGAGCTTTCACAGGTACTGTTATCCACATACGATTTGAGTCTAGAAATGGCTTAAAAAAACATTGCTTCAATCACTGCATAATGCCACTGTGTTAAAGAAGTGTCTGGAGTCATAAAATATTTTCTTCTTGTCAGCTATATTTTAGGATTTCGCCATTTTGGAGTGAAAGCGGTCAGCTGTCGATTGGATCTTACTGCTGTCGCGATGGCAAGCAGCTGCTTTGTTTTTTATTTATTTGTTTAAAAAGTGCATTAAAGCTGAGATACAACCTGAAAGACGACAATACAACACTTATTATAAAAATCATCAGTAATTTTAATAGTTTATTTTACAGACTCATAATATGCTGTCGTTCTATTGAAATTTTTATTCCAAAAATGCCATCTAGTGGCTGTTTCCCATATTGCACCAGAGTGTCGCCTCTTGGTGATTCTATGCTTTTTGATACCACTCGCATTCATACCGTCTAGAATGTACTTTTATAACGGTAGAGTAGTATATTTGAATTCAAATGCAGTACCTACTGAGTACACTGCAAAAAATGCTTTTCTTACTTAGATTTTTTTGTCTTGTTTCTAGTCCAAATATCTAAAAATTCCTAAATCAAGAAGAGTTTTCTAGACAAGCAAAACATATTGTCTTGTTTTGAGAAATAATATGCCAATATTAAGTGAGTTTTTCTTTAAAACAAGCAAAATAATCTGCCAATGGGATAAGCAAATTAATCTTACGTCAAAAGAAAAAACAAGATTAATTTGCTTACCCCATTGGCAGATTATTTTGCTTGTTTTAAAGAAAAACTCACTTAATATTGGCATATTATTTCTCAAAACAAGACAATATGTTTTGCTTGTATAGAAAATGCTTCTTGATATAAGAAATTTTAGATATTTAGACTAGAAACAAGACAAAAAATCTAAGCAAGAAAAGCATTTTTTGCAGTGTAGTAGCTGATTTCGGATGCAGGCGATGTTTCTAGAAAATCTAGCAAGAGCTTCAGTCTCAGATTCAGAGAAAACAGTCTGTTATATCTGGCAACAGTGCACATACGTGTCTGCTTCTCATCATGCGTTATGACAGAGACAGACTCGGATGAAGCTGAAATACAGCTCATTAGTGTTGGGGAATTCATTGTGTCTTCTGATGAATTTCCGATGAATGTATTACTCTCATTTATACGCTTATTCGAGTGATTTCAGTATTATTATTATTATTATTATTATCTATTGTATTATTACCCATGCCTGTTGCATTATTATCAGGTATGTGTGCTTTGGTAAATGAAAAAGTCGTTCTGTGTAAATGCAATCAGAGATGAAAAGATAAATTAGAAGAGCAGCATTAATGTCACACTGAGGGTAGATTTATGGATGCAAGGCCATAAGGACACCTGCGTTCTGTTCTGTAAGTCATGATAAGGCACCTGCACGTGCACCCACTCTCATTTGTACTGACATCTAAAAAATTATGAGTACCTATGAACTTCAGCTGAACTTACAGTTGACAGCTCAGTGGACAGTGAACAAGATATATTGTTGAGCATTGTTTTTTTTTTTGCTGAGTCATCACTTTTGAAACAGGAAGGAAAGACCTTAACTGGACATGGGTAAGACCCCTGAAAGACCCTGAGATTCTATTGGTGGCAGGCACCTGAGAGATTTAAGATACCATTAGCGGAGAAGTTGATGGAGGTGTGTAATGTGTAAATTTGGGTGGAGTATTAAGACACAGAAATGTATTTTTAACTGTGTGCAAGCCTATGTTCGGCAGACACTGGAACAACCTGTCTCTGTTGTTACTGATGCTGTAACAATAAACTGCTTTGCCTGAAGGCTTCGGAGATCTCAGACTTTGTCATTTTTTGAAAAGTTTGACTTAGAGACTTAAAATATTTTGCAGACCAGAATCTTTTTTTCACAACATTAGTCAAAAATACCAAGTGGGTTTATTTCATGTATTTGCGGTGGAGGTTGTTCAAGCCTTTCTGAAACGATGAGTCACGCACAAATGCCATTTGCAGTATACACACCAGTGTTGTGCAAGTTGCTTCCAAACTGTAATACAGATTACTTGTTACTGTTATTTAAAAGTAAACCCTTACCTTACAATATTACTGTCTCAGAATTGTTATATGTTACTTTCGCCAAAATAACCACAGAATTAGAATTTAACATTCTAAAATGACAAAATGTATCAGAACTCCAGAAGTCATGATCCTATCCCAAGAGTCAGCCTGTGAAGGTGGGAAATTCAAAGCCCTGCTTCACTTTAACAAAAGGGGTCCTCTTATCCTTACTGGCAGGATCTGGGGCCTGTTTCAGTTAGGAGGTTCAAACAACTCAGAGTTTAAACTTGAACTCTTAAGTTGATCTACAGAGAGATTAAAAACTCAGAGTTTTCAGTTTCAGAATAGCGGATCTGAGTTTGGTCAATCAGCTTTGAGTAGACCAACTCAGAGGTAAGCGTGCGTACCGTGACTATAAAAAGGCATTATCAATGGAGCGCAGATATTACGAGTGACCATGGCAACATCTTAAAAAAAGGGATCATCATTTCTTTCTGCAGCTGAATTTGATGTGATCATGCAAAGTCATAGCAAATATGATCATATATTTTTAAAGTAGTAACCATTAGTGAAACAGAGACAGCCTGGGAAAACAGCTGTTCAAGTTAACGCGTAATTTTACATTTAAAGTATTAAAATATTTAAGTGTAATAAAATAAGTAATGTAATGTGTGACGTTTATGAAATTTTTCTAAACTTTTATTAATGTTTATCAGTTTTATTAGATTCAACAGTGCACTAGTGTGTCTGCCTTTTTATTGATCAAGTGATACAGACACACACCAGTCGCTATGAGGTAAATAATGATATACACTAATACTGAAACAGTTTAGGCATTTTAGAATGACTAAAAAAACATTTCAGAGATTTTACAATGTGCTCGGCCTGCTGGTTTGTCCGTTCACACACATTTTCATCATCATATGATCTTATTTTAATGTACATACTCTAATTTGTAAAGTAATAGTTTCCATTGTAGTTTATGCGCATATTTTCTATAGAATAAAAGTTTATCCTACTCAGTTATGTGCGTGTTTGTTATGCATATTTTCAAAAGTTATGTGCATCATGACGTTTCCATCAATCGCTTTTATGCACATATTCAAAATGAGCATTAAAATGGTTGGAACCGTAAGGCTAAGGTGAGAAATACCGCTTCGTCTTTAAAAGGGTGGAGACCGACAGAAACTCTGAGTTTAGAGAATAAAACCTGCTCCTGACCAGGTTAGGTTCACAGAGAAAGTTACCACAGTAACTGACTCTGAGTTAAAGTTACCTCTCTTTCAGAAACAGGCTTGACTAACCCTGCTTTCTCGAGTTTAACAAACCTGCCATTTGACTCATTTCAGGGTTAAAATACTCTTGAGTTTTCACTTAACCTCCTTTCTGAATCAGGCCCCTGATATATTTGGCTGCTAAATTGAGAAACAGTACATGGTAAGTTAGGGATAACGCCATAATATAACTGTTGTGAAAATTGGGTTCTCCTCACCTGATCATTTCCCATCCAAACAATGACCTTGTGAACAAAGATTCGAGCATGAAATCAATAGCTTTTTTATTGCTCGTGTTATTTATAAACTATTAAATGCATG